TCCGCTTCTGCACACCCTGCTGCTGCTGCTGCCCGTGCCCGTGGTTTCCTCTGCCTCGTCTCTTCCCTGCCATCCTTGGATCTTCAACAGGTGACTGCTAAGTCCTCTCAGCTGTTTCTAAAAGAAAAAAAACCCAGCAGTTTCTGAACCTGTGTGTGTGTGTGTGTAAAACAGCCGGCCTTCCTGCCCGTGTGCCTGTCCCTGATGACGAGAAACGTGGTGGTCAAAGTTCACTGCAGTCTACTGACGTTCTCTTTCTTCATCAGGCAACTCCATAATCCTCCCTCTGTCTGAAGGCTGTTTTTTTCTTCTTCTTAGTCTTACTCACAGGGTTCAATGCTCTCAGAACAAATCAAACATAGTGTACTTTTAAAAGACAAATTAATATAAATCATATCAGTTTTCTTAATCAAATGAATGTTATACAATAATCGCTGTAATTCTAAAACGCCTGTAAGACTGACCCCCGCATCTTTTCATGACCTCATTATAAAAATCAAACATGACGCAGACACAGAGTATCAGTGTAGAGTTCAGGTTGTATCAGGTTTGGGCTCACAGGCCCAAACGAGGCAGTTCACTATTGGTTGGATGTAAAATGCGTGGCAGAATAATTTAAATTGTTGAAATGTTTCTACCGTTTCTACCTGGTAGCAGTGTTTCGCTGGCTGTAGTTGAAGTGTACGAGTTCCTCACACCGTTGTTTTTTTGTGTGTGTGTCGTGGAGGGAAGAGCCTCAAAGTGTGTTTACATGGCTGCGATACGATTACAGCGCACGATTTCACGTTTTAAACTAAGCCGCTGAATTCAACCGCGGTCCCTGTAGTACATATGCCAAGTCAATGTGTGGCACTGTGCCAGTCGCGCGCTAACATGCCAACAGCGGAAGAGTTCGTAGCGGAAGTCAAGTAAAACCGGCTAACTGTAGCACACAAATAGCCGAATTAGCTTCTTCCCAAATTTGTAGAAAAATAACAGTCAAGCAGAGCAAAACTCACATCCTCCGTGTTAGTAAATTATTGAGCCCATTGTTATTTGACAGGTGGGTGACTTTAGCCTTCTGTTCATTTATTAATTTAATGTTGTTTTCGTAAAAAGAGAGAAAACACCTGTGGCTGTATGTCGGTGAGTTGGGCGGTGATATAAAGTGACACGAGCCGAATACTGACAATTATAATAAATGTATTCTCTAAAGGAATGTCAATCACATCAAACACATAAGTTGCTGTCCTTGTTTTTTATTTTTTTAAGAAACACGATTATTTTTAATTGATTTTCAAACTTTTAACATTTGCTAAACACAGAAGAAGAACAATACAAAATGTTCTCACTGTCCACGCACACACAGTCCCTACAGTTGTTGTGTCATTTTGGTTGTGAATGGACGGTGTCTGGGCTTATCTGTAAATCAATAACACCAGTCGCCCTTTCTGTCAGAGAGCAATAAAAATGTTTTCTAACATCCGAAAAAAACAAACAAGGGATCAATCTTGTGCATTTTCAGTAATTTGCTAATATTTGTGTTTTAAGAAATATCTAATCAAATTATCACTTTCTACTCACAGCTTTAAACTACAGTCTTGATCTTGTCATCCTGGTAAACAAAACCAAAACCAAAAGCTTGTCTGTGTTTACAGATTTAAGTCAAGTTCAGTGGAAACCCATAGACGCTGCTGAGCCGGTTTGAGTGCTGAGGAATTTCTCCTCGCCTGTGAACACATTGACCTGGAGCCAGAGGCGTGGTCTTCCCTGTGAGAGCATGCAGGGCGGCCGCAGAGCTGCGCTCCTCTTCCTCCTACTTCCTGCTGCCAAATACAGTATGTGGAGTGACAAACCCAGGAGAGGCTTTAACCATCTGGACCTTTAACAGAACCAAGAGGGAAACATCATCCTCCAGCTGACGGTAAGAGGACTCTGAGGGTCTGAGTTTGTTGTCAGGTTTGTTTGGAGTTTAGGCGTGGAGGGAAACTTCTGTTTGTTTGAGTAAACAAGAGACGGTTATTGCAGCAGAAACTACAGCTGAGTGTCAGATAAGTCATCTTGGTTTCGCTTGTCATCACCCAGTACTAGGCTCAGAGGAAGAGTGAGAGTCAGAGTATTTTTTATTTAGTATTTCAGTAGATCTTCTTAGCTTATTTTAACCTTTTTTTTATATAACTTGAGTTAATGAGTAACTTCAGTTTGATTTGGTCCAGTGAACCTGACTTCCAGAGCAGAAACTGCTGCAAACAATGAACGCTGTCAGAGAAAGAATAATAGATCTAATAACAGTAGTAAAAATAATCACACGTCTGACTGTTAACTCTCTGTGGTTCACTGCTCCTCCACAGTTATGTTGCTGTGGACGTTTATGACGCCGCTCCTGCTCACAGCTGCTCACATGTGCCGAGGTGAGTGCCTATGAAAGCTAAGACACAAAGACAGTAAACTGAACAAAGTTGTAAATGTATGCATTGTAAAACTATTGCCAGTAAGGGCAGCAGCAACAGCTGCGGTTCAGAGGAACCAGTGGAGACAGATTTTAGGAACTGAAATTTCCTGGAAATTCAACATGTGTCAGAAAAGGTCACTCAGAGTTGGTTTTCTTGAGACATTCATCATGTCTCAGTGACACAGGTATTATGAATATCTTTGCTGTGTTTTTTTTTTTTTTACCCTGTGACACAGGACAACTGATCTGTCTTCCCAGTTAAACTTGTTCATATACAGTGATGCATAGAATGAGTCAAACGAGTAATGGCATTTGTGACACTGGATCTACATTTGTGTCTTTGTTGAGGAGCAGGGTGAAAAATAAGGTCTGTGGTCTGAACTTTTGACACAGGATTAGAAACTATCTACGTGCGGAATAGATCCCACAACCCTGCGTTTGGACACAGGATTATTTGTCATTGTCGTGTGTACCGTCCACAAAACTACACCCACCTGTGAAGCAAGAGCAGATACTGTAGTGTAGGTGTTGACACTTGCTCAACAGCCCTGTCACCTGTCAGGGCGGTGAACCAGCTATCCTTGGTCATGAGCGCAGTTCTGTAACCCCCAGGATCAGACTTGTCACACACTGTCACATGGAGGAGCATCAGAAGGCTGCAGTTCCCCAAACTGTGGCTCAGAAGTAGGTTTTGGGAATTTGGTTGGAGGTCACCTGACCTCACATACCACCGCAGCAACCTCACTGCTGCTTTAGACAACATCCTGTGATATTGTCTAAAGTGCAGCCTATTTCCCGACATGAAAACAGACGCAGTTTTATTGAAGTCAGACAGACTAGTGTGGACCAGGCGGTGGCCCAGTGGTTAAAGGATCGGGGTTCTTATCTGAGTCCAAACAGGACTGTGACCAGTGGTTCCTGTGGTCCGAGCTGGTCACGGTAGTGTCCTCGGATCAAATGTCAAAAGAAGTTTTACTCATAAAGTACCTAGAAGTTGGTCAGTTACAGTGAGTCATTTGACTGAGGGGATTCTCCAAAACTACTTCACCAAATCCTTTCATTTTGTTTTAGGAGAGAGTGTTTCACTTGAAATGTTCTTTTGGTGTCACTTTCTGTTTAGCTTGATTTAGAAGATGTAGAAAATTTAAAGATAAACTGTACACAGATAAATAAACTGGACCAATATATTTTTAACTCAAGTAACAAAAATGTAAATGCCCCACAGTTTAATCCACTGTTTTCTTTATTTTTTTTTTGCCTCCAGCTCAGGGATGTGATGAATTCACTGACCTGAACATCGGTCATTCTTTCCTGGGCACGAGCCTCAGGGTCAGACTCTTGCTGTACACCAGAGAGAACAGCAGCTGTGCTACCCTCCTGTCCCACACCGACTTCTCTGCGTACCCCAGCTTTAATTTGTCCCGACCCACCTCCTTCATCATCCACGGGTATCGACCCACGGGCTCTCCGCCGGTGTGGGTTCACGAGCTCATGGCTCTGCTGCTGCTCAGAACCGATGTCAACGTGATAGTGGTGGACTGGAACCACGGAGCCGCCAATCTGAACTATCTGAAGGCAGTGGAGAACACGAAGCAGGCGGCGGAAAACCTCACGGCCTTCATTGAACGGATGCAGGTACAGTGTGAAGCTAGCTTGACTAGAAACAAGTGAAATAAACCTAACTAGTACTGAGTTAAAAAAACAACAAGATTCTGTTGCTTAAAATAAGTACAAAAATCTTGTTTCTGAAAAAGGCTGAAAAAAATGGTAAAGTATAAAACAGATCTAGTTCTGCTGAGGTTTGTAGAGGAACAAGATGTTGAACATTTTTACACCCAGTTACTGTCAGTTAAGTGTGTGATCTGACCAATCATCTCCTCAGGATTCAGGTGCTAATCTCAGCTCCATCCACATGATTGGAGTCAGCCTGGGGGCTCACATGTCGGGGTTCGTTGGCGCTAACCTCAAAGGGGCAATCGGAAGAATTTCAGGTGAGTTTTGTTGACGTTGATGCGTATCCTTACTGGCCTCTTCATTAGGAACATGTGGCCAGTTCTGTGTTGTAGAACTGTGTTAATTCTTCAGGGCACAGCTTTGTACAGGTGCAGGAAAAAAAATTCCCAGATATTCAAGGAAACACAGACATTGGTTGCACTGTGTTCAGTCACAAGTCTCAAGTTTTTGTGTCTGAGTGATGTTTAGAAGAAGGTGAAGGTTGGAGAAAGCTAAGTTTAAACTAAACCTAAAGCTGCACTGACGGTTCTGTTTGCAGCTCTGGATCCTGCAGGGCCTCAGTTCACCGACAAACCTCCAGAGGAACGACTGGACCCCGATGATGCCCAGTTTGTGGACGTTCTTCACACAGACATTGATGGTCAGTGTTGGTGAGGACCAGGTGTTGCCTGGTGTCACGGTACTTAGATGTTGACATGTGAACGTCCACAGACGATTAGCTTCACTGAACCGTCTTCATCTTGGTCTTTCGACAGCTCTGGGCTACAGGAAGCCGCTGGGTCACATTGACTTCTATGCCAACGGAGGGACCGACCAACCAGGATGCCCCAAAACCATCCTCTCAGGTCAGTGATGACTTCTGAGTTCTACAGCTGTGTCTATTTAATCACAGTCCACTCTAAAAAAAAAAAATCCCTCCAATCTCTTCACAGGTGGTGCTTATTTCAAATGTGACCACCAGAGGTCGGTGTTGCTCTACCTGGGTTCTTTAAACCGTACATGTACCATCAGAGCCTTTCCCTGCGACTCCAACACTGAGTTCTTGGATGGAAAATGTTTGAGCTGCGACCAGTTCGGTGCTGATGGTTGTCCTGTTTTTGGTTGGTGTTTAGATTAAATACATTTAAAAAAAACTCCACTTTTACTAATGCTTTCGTTTTTATTGTTGGTACAATAATATTATCTACTCTGTGCAAAGGCTATGATGTCAGCAGGTGGAAAAATGTCCTGAAGAAGCTTGGCCAAACAAAAGCCTTCTTCACCACGAACGCCCAGCCTCCATACTGCAGTAAGTACTGCATCAACAAGGAGGGGGTGGAGGGGGATGGGGGCCGGCATGCATGAAATCTTGATCTGACTGTATGTGTGTGTTATATGTGTTTTCAGGAACGGGCTACAAGGTGGAGGTGGTGGTATGGAACACTGATGTTCACTGGGGATACATGACCATCAAACTTCACCACAATGGAACAGAAGCGGTGGCCAACGTCGACCAGTGAGGCCTTACTTTTTTACTCTTATCAAGTTTCAAGTTCCCTTTTTTAAAAATGTTCAAACTGAAACTAAAATTATTTGTTAAACTTTTTAAACATTTATACTTGTTGTTCTGATGGCATCTTATTTGGAGTTGGGCAACAAAATGTTTTATTTGATTTGAAAACATGTGATTTCTTGCAAACAATTGCACTGTTATGCACAAAATCCGGTTATATTTTATATTTACATGAAGTGTACGCCACACTTTTACTGAAAAAGTACTGCATTATTAAAATGCAAAAATGTTTGATCAACAAACTGCAACCTTCAAACATGAAGAAACTAAATCTTTACAGTTGTTCATAATTATTTTAATTTTATTATTATTAATTGAATTATTTTCAGTATTTTTTAAAGTCTTATTCTTATTAAATAACATTGAATAATTTCTCCCATGGATCAGTCGAGTATTTCTGATTCATCATTGATTTCTTTGGTTTTTCTCACAGCAAATCCTCAGAGTTCAGGAAGTTCACAGAGACCACACTGTTCGCCCAGTTTGACAAAGACGTCAAAGACGTCGAAAAAATGTCAGTCACCTTCTCCACCGGCAACGTCTTCAAGCCTAAATACAAACTACGAGTTCTCCGAGTCCGACTCACGCACTTGGAACTCGACAAGACGTAAGTAACTCAGAGTCAAAGACGTGAGGAAAGGTGATCATTAGTCAAATATGTTAACGACAGAGGCTAACGAGTTGAACCAACGTTTTCAACTTGTCACTGACTGTGGGTTGTGTCTTCTACAGAGCTCTGTGTCGTTACGACCTCCTCCTGGAGGAAAACAAAGAGGTCATGTTCAGGCCTGTTCCCTGTGAGGATGCCGACTTCTGACCCAGATCACCATCAGATGTGGGCCATGTTGGCAACCGGGCCGCACTGCTGGCTATTATATAGCCCAGAAAAAAAAATTGATTTGATCCTGACAACGGTTTTGGCAGATCTACCACAGTGGGGCGCTACGTCAACCACTGCACGCCATAGATGGGAGTGCCATACGGACTGGATTTGGACCAGAAGAAAAAAGTCACTCCTTGTTCAGAATGTACGTTTAATATGAAAGCTGAGAAATGTGATGTTAAACTGTAAATTTTTTTTTTTTTTTTAAATACTGATTTTGTTTATTACACATAAAAATAAGAGTTTTTAATTCCAATCCTTTAAAATGTATGAATGGGATTTATTACATATTTATTCTTGTATATTAAGTCATACTTGCAGTGTTAGAAGATGACCACCAGGATGACGTTTGATTTTATTATTATTTTTTTTAAACAGTATTGACTCCAATTTTTTATATATTAACCTGTGTTTCAGATTGAACATGTTTTTGTCACAGACCAACAGTTGAACTTTTTGGCAGATGGTTAAAAACAAACTGATTATTTAAAAAAAAAAATCAACATGACAGATTTGAACTCCACAGGTTCGTGAACAGACACAGCGTACGCAGCTTCTCTCTGTACAATATTTACAATAAAGATTTATTTTTTACACATTCTGCACAAATATATTTCAAACATTTCTACTATGTCATTTGGTATTTTGAATTCACTCCCATAATCTTTTGTCTTTGTCTATTACCCACAATCCTCTTTGCTTTTGTCACGTTGCTAATGTAAATGTCTTGCACCATACAGTGTGTGAGTCACGATCACAATCGGACGATTTCTGTAGAAACATGAAAATGTCCTGACGCTGATGGTTTAAAGAGGACTGTTTTTTTTCTGTCTTTTCTTTCTAGCGCAGGTGCCGTACACCCTGAGGGTTGAGGGTTTGATTCCAGGTTAATAGGTAGTGCAAAACCACCTACAGGTAGTTGAAAAAACCTGCAGTGTTAACTGTTAATATGAGTGGTCAGTTAATTTAAATGTTCAAACCTGCTGGCTAGTTAGCAAGTTGACAAAGTTGATTGATATTTTATTAAAAACAAGTTTATGATTTATGTTTCTAGTGTAGGACTTTAACCTTTCGTCACCTTTCTTCTCTCAGGATTCCATTCTTTTGGACATGTGTTTTTTCAAACGTTGGATCTCCATCTACAACAGAACAACACAAAGTACAAAGGCAGTTATTTATGACGGAGCCGACGACTGAACGACCTCACCCCAGGCTGTGACGTCACACCTGCAGAGTCAGTCGGATCTTCTTTTCCTCGTCCAGCTCGTTCATCAGCAGCTTTATCTCTTTGCTGGAAACACAAACGTGTCAACGAAACGATCGGGAAGTGACCCAAACTGAAATGCAGGGATGTGAACCAGTGTCGTACTTGTGCTGAGTCTTCATCTGTTGAAACTGGCTCCTCAGTTCTGTCAGCTCTGTCTGCAGCTCCTCCAGATTTGGTGCTGCATGTTTCCGCTGAGCCTTAGGATGAGGTTTGAGTCCCGGGCCCAGCGTTGGCTTAAGAACGGAGGGAAAATAAACTCAGAGAAAGACGGTGAGGGTTCACGCTCTGCTGCCTTTGGATTTAAACTGACACCGGGTGATGTTTCACACCGTCGGCTCTTCTTTTAATCACAGAACACAGTCATCTGCAAACACTACGGTATGAGTCACAGAAACACCTCTCCTGAACTTCATTTACTTTTCTGCCACTCCAGAACATCTCATACAGTACTGTCAAAACACTTTGACACACTGGATTTTTTCTACGACCCACAAAGACACGTCTCTGAACTCTGAAATCAGCAGCACTTCATCATTGATCGTGTTCACACACCTCTCCTGAACTTCATGTACTTTTCTGCCACTCCAGAACATCTCTTACAGTACTGTCAAAACACTTTCACTGGATTTTTTTTAGGACCCACAAAGACACGTCCCTGAACTCTTAAATGAGCAGCACTTCATCATTGATCGTGTTCATTTTCTACTTACAGGAGCCGGCCCATTCTGTGCCACGTCATGACAGTTCTCTGTAAATCTTGACGACTCCAGCTCTCCTCCCTGGGTTTCCTTTCTCTCCTCCATCACGAGTGTCACCTGTAAGTACACTCTAGTTTGAAACACCTGATGACTACAGTAACAAAGCAAGTACAAACTAAATGATTGACGGTTGTTGCTTTGAATCAGGCATGTTCAAAGTCTGGTTCTGGGGCCAAATCAAATTTATATTTCCTTTTAAAAGCATTTATGTTTCATAAAGATTTCACACAAGATGGCAGTAAACAACTGAAAAACACTGGTGATATAAACCAGTGAGGACAGAACAGCCTTTGGGTGAGTGGGTGAGAAAATGTAACCGTCATTGTCTAAAAGTGTCTGTGTGTAAAGTTAAATTTGTCTCAAGGACAAACGAGACACGGACAAACCAAAGACTCCTTCAGTGTGTGACACAAGTGGAGGGACATTTTAGATTTACTGACAGATACTCTGAGATTAGATATATGTCAAGAAAATGTTAAAAAAAAAAAAACCTTGGTTAGGTCATAAAGAAGATAAATAATTGATAACCAACAAGTGGGTAAACAAACAAACAAACTGTGAACTGTGTTAAGGACCGCCTCCTCGTGTGCTCGTTGGAGGTGATGGTGATGGTGACTGTTGTATAATGTACAGTGTACTGTATACTTCCCAGAGTCTGCAGCTCTGACCGTAACTTCTGCTGAGTCAGCGCCTCCGTCACAATTGACTCAAACTCCTCTGTGTCTTTCAGTGAAACAGAGAAAGAACGACGTTAAAGCACAACCGTCACAGGCCAACGCATGAACATTCATCCCCTCCTCATGGCAGACGTCAGCACTCGACAGGACGGGACTTCAGAACGACACACGTTTAAAAGACACAGGCTTACCGGGAACGAGGGCCGAGCTATAGTTGCCCATGAAGACGGAGAGACAGACGGAAAGACCGGCAGACCTGAAATCTACATCTACAAACGACAGAGTGGAGCAGGTGAGTTTAATCCCTGCTGACACCTTCAAATCAAGTCGAATGTGAGGTAATTCTGTCACATTTGTACTGCGTCAGATCAGAACAACATCCTCATCTGACTAAATCTGGCCGTCAGAGCAGTAGAGACAGCTGTTTCTCACATGCCACAGCAGTTGACAAATGAACAACAGGCACACACACACAGACACATTTGTTCTTTTCACTCAGACTCTGCTCAGTTCGCGTTCAAACTCTGGTGAAAACACTCACCTTGTTCTAGCCAGTGTTGTCAGTGACACACAGCAGTGTCCCAGGAAACTCAACACCTTCCATTGTGACCCGGTGGGGCGAGCAGGGCGTGCTGTGGTCATTCTCGGGTCTAAGTTTAGCCCAGGACAGAGTGCAGCTCTGCTGCGCTCACAAATACCACAGTGGGGCGGCGATGAGTGCAGGAGGAGGTGTAGAGGTTTAACCTTTTAGACCAGGCTTCTGTTCACCTTATGGTTATCAGAGGTGCTTAGCATGTTTGCAATCATAATGTTGGTTCGATGCCCAATCTGTCTGTGTGTAGTTCAAAGGTTCATATATAAAACGAACTACAATTTCTATCTCTTTTATCTAGAATTTCCAAAAAGGATAAATGCACTGGAGCTCCTGACGTCATAGAACAATGATGGTCTTCCATCATCTAACTGGACTTAGGCAAATGTTTGGGTCAAAATACTAATGTTCTAACGCTGTTTTTACATTTTTAATGGCACAAAACAAAATGAGTCTATGCATCATTGCTTGGTTAGCCTTAACTAGCAGTTGGTTAAATAAGATTTTTTCACAAGCATTGATTACAGATAAAAACCAGGACCAAACAACGTTTTTTTAAATAATGTTTATTTCCAAGTTTTTCAAACTGATAATTATACAAGTTTTACAAGATGAAGCCGTCATGTCAGTTGAAAGCAGGTTCCTTATCCACATGCGCAAAAAAGCAAAAACGGGGGAAAAAAAACAAAACCAAACAACTGAAAAACAGTCAGCTAACATCATAATTTCAAAAAACTATTTCCCAAAATCAGGGTAAACCGGAAAAGTAATAGACTTTAGTGTGTAATACCATGTAAAACAAAAGTACTGCAGTACCACTAGTTCAACAGCAGTAGCAGAAACGTAAGCAACATGTGTGTTATATACAAAGATCGTGATGGGGGGGGAAGGGGAAGCTGGTGCACAGTCCACAGCAGACACCGTCTTGTGGGTTCCTCCAGTCTGGCGTCTGTAGACAGGCCTGAGCTGAAAGACCAGAAGAAGAAGAAGAAAAGAAAAGTCAACACTGCAGGTGTTTGTTTCTTACTGGAGCGCTGCGTCTCAGCACGTCTACGTCAGCTTCTTACCCGTTTGTCCCAGAGCTGCTGCTGCTGGAGCCTCTCAGTTGTACGGTGCACGTTGCTGTCGCATCACTCTGATGTGGCGGTACTTGGTCATTATGCTCTGACTTTTCCGTATCACTTGGCGTTGATTGGGGAAAGGACGTGGAACCAAGTTCTCCTTTTAGTGACCAAAATAAAAAGGCATTCTCATGTTATTTAGATAAAATAATGACCAATGAAACCCATAATGAAATCAGTAACTACCATGAGGGGTCTTCTCCCGTTTCCTGACATTTCAGGGCCTGAGTTCCTGGGACCACCAGGATATCTTTGTCTCTGAAAATGAGCATAGGGAAAGTTGAAAATTAAAATATGTCTCAGTGATGCACAGACTCAACAAAGTCTACGTCATTTAAAGTTTTTTCTCACTTGAAATAGACTCAACAAAGTCCTTTAAAGTCATTTAAAGTTTTTTCTCACTTGAAATAGAACTGGTCCTGGTCTTCTGAAAGGTCTCCCAGACCTGGGACTGTCCTGCATCGTGTTGAAGGACCTGGCAACAAAAAACAGAAAGCTACATTAAAGACCTTCAAATTGGAAAAAAACGTGTGGAACATGAAAATCTGGACAAACGTACCTGAAGACTCGTTTGTCCAGATATCCTCGTTTCCGATCTTCTGGCTCTGGTCTGGAATGATGCGTCTTTGAGAGTCGACTGTTTGGTGACTCGTCTGAATCTGCGCTGCATTCTGAAAGAAGAAGAGGGATTAAGAAAAGAAAGAAAAAAACAACAAAAACTACTTTCCATCGTGGAACACTCCTTACCTTTGTCGGGGCTGTTATCTTTAGGGGGCGAGCTGTTCTTGGAGGAGCTCGGTCCTGGTGGCCAGTGAGACAAGACCACCAGATCACGTTTCTCTATGGGAGAAGATCTGGAAACAGATGGTGTTAAAATGATCAGCATTTCTGCTCCGGCACCGTGTCAACGTCTGCAGATGAACAAAAGCACACGTTCTTGGAGACGACAACAACATTAATTCAATGTTTTTAAAAAGTTAATTAATTCAGCCTGGGTGAGGTCACAAGTATGCAAGCAGATACATTATTTTTTTAAATGAAAGAAAATCACACATAATACATGTGTACTTACAAACACCACGGCATGTCCATGCTTCAGCACTTCTATTTTTGTACCCTGAATCAATGTGCGCTCTCTTCCTTTACTCATTCAGTGACTGAGCCAACGTTATCTTGGACGACTTTAAGATACAAGGTCTACTTCACGTCTATCGCTGCTGTTTGAGGCTGTCAGATGGAAGTACGAGGTTGTTCCTGGAAGTTCCTTAACTTGTCGTCATCATACAAACAATATATCACAAGAGGGAACGTCCAATCAAAGATCTGAGCGTTGAAGACGCGCGTGGCTCCGAATGCAGCCGTTGAATACGTCCGTGAAGATGTGAGAATGTGTCTCCAGGATGAGTGGTCATTGGTGGGGTTGTGGTCATTACAGGAAGGCAGCAAGTTTAAGATAAAGGATGGACCGACTGCTTGACAACATCAACAGAGGTCGAGGACAGCTTTAGGTCACATGGGCTTTGGTTGAAAAAGACGCTAATGAATTTGCCCTCAGGATGATGGACATCTTTTTGTTACACGTCAGACAGAGACACAGGAAGCAACTGTGGCAGATTCTGATTCTGAGGCTTTCACTCCGACTACATAAAACAGGGGTCAAAACTCAAGAGGGAAATGAGAAAACTGGGTTCTGTCAATAAGACGACGATATTTTTTTTTTTGTCTTTCGTCCTTGTTCCTCTGATTGTGCTTCGCCGACTTCTCTGCAGCGGTGTCAAGTGGATTTGATTTGCATCTGGAGCGTTGTTTCTGGGGGGCAGTAAACTGGCTTTGAAATGACAAGATCAGCGAACACTGAAGTGAAGACAAAAGCTTCTTCTGATTCAAGACTGTGGTCGTGAATATGAACGATAACTCGGCTCCTCTCCGTTCAGCTCAGTGTGAACATCAATGATCTTCAGAACGTTGTGTTCCACATCCATCAACAATAAGGGAAAGAAGAATCACTTTGATATGAAGGGTCACCACTGTGGTACTTAGAGGTGGAGTAGGTGGAATTTCACCCTGAACCCTCATTCATTTTGCCCACTGGTGTCAATAGTCTCCTCTTCTTGATTCCACTGCTGCTGCACATGTGAGGACGTGAAGGGTTAGAGGTTAATCGTTTTATTCAACCACCGTGGTGGGTCATTATTGGCTTTAATGTGCGGTGATTAATTTGGACATTATTTATAAGAAATCATCACTGCTGGTGCACATCGTCCTCTGATGAGCCGTGTCCATGAAGTCAATTTCCACTTCAACAAATTTCTACATCATGCGAACAGATTCACATTCAGACAAAATCTCCAAATTCTTTGACATGGCTGTAGAGTTGATGGGACGGGTACTTGGTGGTTTCCATTAAAGCGGGGGTCAAGTTCTCTTACTGTACGTATGTTTTTCAATCAAACATCACATTGGCAAAACTTAGTGGGACAGTGTGGCCGTTTAAGTCTAGGTCGTGAGCTAGTACACTCCTTACCATGTCCTCGTTGTGCACGAGTTTTTGCAACTGTAACTTAGCTTTGATGACGAGTTGATGAGTCCTGGTCAGACCGACTATTATTCTCCACTCTGTTCATCGTGTTTCTGCTTTTTAAACAGGCTGGTATTATCAGTGCGCTGCATAACTTATCACTTTCTGATGAGCCAACTTGAAAGAGGACATTTTTCAAACTCAACTGTAGACAGAACAGCATTTGACAACTTGTGTGGCTTTTCAAATGACTCAGTGTTGGTCATTTAGCTGGACATGACATCTCCACCTCCCACAGCTGTCACTCATTTCATTTTGCGACATTCTTTCTTGACTTCATATTTATCATCATCACCATCATCATCATCAAGCCCCTGCGAACATAGGTAGAAGGAAAATACCATACCTGTGCGGGTTCACGGACCGACGAGACTCCACCTGCTCTTTGTCTGAGACAGAGTCTCTTGAAGACTTGCTCCCACCGCCATCTTCTCTGGAGGGTGACTCTTCTGGTTTTTCCCTCCGTGGACCCAGCCTTTGGAAAGGACCTGGTCTTGTCTGGAAACGCCTGTTTCTGAAGGCAAACAGTGGACCAAAGTTGCCTCTTGGGGAGGGGTTGCCCAGTTGAGGCCTGGGTCTGATTGTGGGAGGTATTCTGAGCCTCATAAGAGACTGCGCTCTCATTTGTCGGTTCCTCATGAAATAACCTTTTCCCCTGAGGGACAATGGTTTTGCACCAAATGGCCTCGGAATACTGAAGAGCTGAGGTCTGTCCCTCCTGGGAAATTTAGCATTTCCAGGGGCTGATGAAGGCTCCATGTCAGTGACATTGCATATCCTCCTCTTGCGGGACACCAACTGTCTGTCCTGAGGGCTCCTGCTGTAGGTGGATGGCTGTGATGGACCTCCTTTCCATGAGGGTCTGAAAGGGAGCTGATGAGGGACTTCATGTGTCCTCTCTCTACTGTGGGACCTGCTGCCCTGCCTCTCCACTGGACCACGCTGCCGCCTCGACTGTTGCTCTGATGACCACCTGTACATCCATCAAACAATAGAGAAACAATTATAATGACAGATCCATTGCCATGGTCAGAGGGAGGTGGAACTTTAAACTTATTAAAAGATGCCCCTTCATAATTCCATGACTGACAATGGGAGAAGTAAAATTTCAAGGAGTATTGACTCAAGTGCAGATGAAACCACAATTACATCAGACCCCCGTTATTAAACTTAAAAAGGTTAGGGCACAAACGAGGTTATCATTATGACCTCATGTAATTCAAAGCACAGGGCCAGCGCCAAGCTTCGTCTTCATTTTTTTTTTACCCAGCTGGGATAGTTTCTCCACTCATATACCTCTCTGGACACGAGCCTCTCTCATTCATTTCTCTGGGACTCCTGTTCGACCTAGGGGGCCTGTGTTCTCCATTGTTTGGACTGGAGAACCCTCCTCCCTCGTTCCAGCGCTTCGTGCCTTGACCTGAATGATCAAAGGGCCTTTCTCTGGGACTGTAACTGCGACGGTGATCCTGACTCTGCTGCTCGTGATGGGGGAAACGTGACTGTCTTCTGTGGCCCCTGAAAGACCCCCGATACTCCTGGGAGGAGCTTGGTCTCCTGTCAGCTGGGTGACTGGGAAAATGTCTGGGGGAGGATGGCCTGTGCCCTTGGTGCTGGCCAGGGAAGGGCGGGCCTCTTCGACCTGGGGATCCCGGTCGTGGACTGCGAGAGGATGAGTGATGCTGGCCACGGGGAGGCCGATTTGGCCTGGATGAACTGGGCCTCCTCTGGTGATCGTATGAATCCATCTTAGGTGGATATGTATGAAAGGAATCGTGACTTGGGGATCTGGAGTGATTGAAACGTGGCTCCCTTAGCTCTCCCATCAGAGGCATCCTCTTAATGCCACGGGGGCGACCTCGACCTCGACCTCTGGACTCTCTCCAGTTAAAGGGGGGCCTTTCTGCATAACCTTGGGCATCTCTCCTTTTGACATTTGGGTTGTAATTTCCTTCTCTGTGCCTTAGGCCATGGTGATCTCCATATGGTCTGAGACGGAAAAAAAAATCAGCTTCTTTATGATGTGATTTTTTTTTAGCAAACTGAGTAATATAATATTTATAAAGAGAATTACCTGGACTTTGAGCGAGATGGACCAAAGTGTGGCCGGGACATCTTTCTAAGTATGTTAATGTCCTGTGGGCGTAAGAAACGCTATTACACAGAGACAGAACTTTACAAAAACTGATGGGGAGATACTTTTTATTAACAGTTAGTCAGTTTACGGCAGTTAGTTTTCACAACGTCATCACGAATATGATGTCATTATTCAATCCCTTTCAATACCCGTTTAGATCCTTCCAGTCAAACCAGTGCGCTGATGTTTTGATAAAAGGAGGATTAAAAATATCTTTGTAAATAAAAGGTTTCTGTTATCACACGTTAACTACACGTTTCGATTGGTTGCCTGGGGGGGTCGCTGTTAATGTGTTGAAACAGTATGTGGAATTCTATTATATATATATTTTTACTTTAACTAATGTGATTACATCCCGTCCGAATATATAGCACTGTTTACTGGGGGAAACTAACACATTTTCTTTGGTTGTCGAGACGCAGGGAAGACTCTTATAACCCATGAGTATTACTTTCACGTTGGCTAATAGCTTTTCCATGATGGCTTCTGCTTCAGTTTGGCTCTGCTTATCAAGTCTCCATTTTCGTCACAGATCTACGGAGAACTTAACGCTACGCAAATGCAATCAAATTGTCATTGAATAAGTAAAAAACACACACGGGTTTTGTGTATTTTAACGGTGGTAAAAATTATGATATCGTTTCAATCGACACAACTGAGTTATATTTAGCCCGAGCTAAGGCTGAAATTCGAAGCTTTTGCCAACTCAGCTTAGCATGGCACCGTCGCTGTATATCGGTTTCCAAAAAACGGCACCGTATCAGTGAGTGTATTAAAAACAATTTATGAAAAAGGGATTTCACAAGAAAATTAACAAAAACATGGTAAATGCAATTTAAACACTGACTTACCAACGACCGACCGTCCGTCGAGTGGATAAATCTGCGACACAGCTTAGTTTACCTTCTTCGTCGCACAAACCTCGCCTTTTAACTCAGCTCTGTCACTATTTCAAGCGCCACCTACTGCGACGGAGTGTGTACTGCAGGTTCGGACAGCTTAAACTTCCTTCCGCCCACTTTAAAATCCAAAGGTTAAGATTTAGGTAACATATTCTTCATAAACAATCGTGTTAGTTCACAATTTAAACGTGACCATTATCTTTTCAGAAAAAAAAAATATCGACGTCCCAATTTGATTCCACTGCCAAGAACGTCTTATTGAAAAGTCTAAAAATGAATAACCTAGACTTGAAAACCAAGTCTAAAAAAACAAGCCAACAACCCGCCTACCGCTGCCCTCTCTGGTATCGCTATACAGTGATTGATAGACCACTTAAGTTTAACTCTCTGTCTCTGTCTGTCTCTGTCACTTTTTCAAAGAGACTTATGTCAGTATGAACTGTAAGTTGTCAATATTGTTAAATATAATATTCATAATATACTTTTTCTGTTTATGCACAAAGCCAGACAACCTGAAAAAGTTAGAAAATACACAATATTAATATAAACATAATACAAAAAAAATGTATTTATATTTTATGTCTCGATCGTCTTGAACTTTTTTATAATGGATTGTATTAAAGATGTGTCACAAGCAAACAAACACTTAGAATATACAGAACTATAAAGACGTGTAACAAGCAAACAAACAAACACTTAGAATATACAGAACTTAAAATGTACTTTTATTGTTCCAAGTAGCTTTGTCATGAACATGCTAACCGTGCACAATGTCTACAGAAATTACATTACTTAAGGAGTTGATCCTGATTGCTTTTACAATAACAATGAATTTTCCATGACTAGTACGGCTTCTTCACAGACAACAACTCAAAGCCTTAGAAAGCAATGAGTCTGAGGAACACAAACCTGTGCCGATGTTCCATTGTGCAAACTCATACCTGCAGCTGGGTGTAATTTTACTTTTAAACCAAGGTTCAAGTGTCTCAGCTCACACATGACACCTGTCCATAAGGCATTTTTTTTAAAGAAATATATTTTTACATGACATAAAAGCAGAACAAATGTTCCAAAAAAGAAGAAGTAATAATTACAGCTTTAGGGAATTCTTTAAATGATGACAAGGAATGCAGCAAAAACAAGACAAAGAGGTATCATCCAGCTCAAGAAAAACATCGGTACGAAAACTGTGGCACAAAAACTTCATTCAAGTTCAGTCGATTCAACACTGGATATTTATTGACAGAAACTTTGTTGTTGTTTGTCTTAGTTTACAGACACCAGGTGCCTTGAACAGCCTTTACATCGCTTTAGGGCAGACAAANNNGCTGAACAAACGTACTCTGGTGCTCGACCCACCAATAAATAAATAAATAAATAAAATCGTTAAATGATTCAAGTTGACTTTAATATTATTCACGGGCTCTACATGTGCAAAGTTAAAGTCAGGCGTTGTCAAGCATGTGGTGATGATGTTGTGCATTTTTTTTCATGACTACTGATGATTTTAATAAAATGTGCAATAACATTCAGGCCAAAAGCTTTGGGCTAGACTTCACACTACTGTATGTGCAGATGGAAAGTCACAGCTGAAAGTTGTTGAAGTTCCTAAAATGAACTTGCTAAATTAGCTATCGCAGAGAGAAAGGTCCTTAAACGTAGATGATCCGACACTGGATTTAGTCCTATTATGTTTGAGTCAATCATCTGTACATGCATGAGTAATACAGTACTGCCTGCAAAGTATTTTTTTAAGTATTGAGAATCTGACTATTATGGTAACGAGACAATCATGCTTCTCCTTTCAGCTACTGCCACTGAATGACTTCGGACGTTGGATCGTGCTTGAAACTGAACAGTAGCTTCAAACCGTGATAAGTCAAGAGTGTGGCCAAGGAGAGAACTACAGCCTCTAGTCCCTTCGTCAGCAAGTAGGATATAGTGGAAGAATTAGAAGATTGGGAGTGGCAGAAAAGTATGTAAATGTGGTGCAGGGCAATACAATAGGGGAGTGTGCTGTGCTGTCTGAGTGGCAGATGGGTTTAGAGTAGAGGTAGAAATATCATAAATGAGACTATAATCTTTAGAGAATGATGAGTGGAGCAGTGTGGAGGTTAAGTTAGAGGGGCAAGTGGGGCAGATGGTTGAGGTGGAGGCAGAAAAAGACTTTGGCCAAATCAGTCATCAGTCAGAATAAGAAGAAAAAGAGGAAGAAGAATATTCCACACACTCTCTGACGATCACAGCTGTCCTTACGCCAAGACGTTTTACTGAAAATAAGTGGCTTTCAATTTTCTAGTCTAAGCTACGATAATATTTTTATGGCTCTATTTCCTTCAACGTATATAACAACACAGAGGTTTATTTTTTTTCTACGAGGGTACGGAGAGAACAGGCAAGCGATGGAGGTGTGTGGGTGAGATCTGATGCTTTACTTGATGTTAAGTTTATTTGACGATGAAGGTGAAACTCCGAGGAGCTTAGAGTCTGTGACGGGGCTGACCACACCCTCGATCAGGTTCTTGTTGCAGTCGCCCAGGTTGATTTCAGAGGAGGTTCTTTGGTACGTGACGCTGCCCGTCAGGTCCATGAGATCCTCCAGAGCGCGGGCGTTACTCAGGCCGCCCGGCTGGATCTCGTTCACCGGCGAGAACCTGGGGATTGAGATTAACTCCTCCTTTGAAGAAGGGCTGAAATACAATGATGGCAAATTAAAACAATAAGTTACTTCTTCCTTTAATATTAAGTTCATGTAATCTGACTACTTAGTACTCACCTGATCTCCATTGCCTGCACCTCATTACATGACCCTGTCCCCTTCACATCCAGTGGCTCCAGCTTAATGACGGGTGGTGACAGGTGTCTTACCAGCAGGGGGGGCACTGAGGGTCTAATGGCCTCCACCTGGGATCCTCCTTTGTGACTTCCTGCCGCCGCTGACAGGTGCGAGCTCTGATGTTTGTTTTTCTCTGCCGTCGCTCGTCCGCTCATCAAGGAACTTCCTTTCCCCTCCACAGCTCCGTTCATCACGCCGCCCTGCTGTGGTTTGGCTTTGGCTTCTGCTTTCACGTTTGTCGTCTCCTTGTTCATTTGGACTGTTGTTTTCTTATGGTCTGTGTGCTGCTGATTGACATTATTTGCCACCTCTTTTCTGCGGTGCTCCACAGCGCAGGTTTTACCCCCCGGGCCGACGAGCTCTTTGCTGGTTCCCTTGGAGTCCGGCCTCTTCTCGGCGACGTGGTCTGCTGACGTCACCTGATGATGAGTGCTGCTTCGAACATGGACACTCTTGTGACTCTCCATTTGCTGTGCTCCTTTTGCTGACACCGCTTCCCTACTGACCGGACCTCTGTCCTTGGTGCTGGCCTGGACCACAGTGACCACCTCTTTGACCTGAAACTCAACCTTTTTGCAGGTTTGCTGAATCACCTGAGTGCTAGACTGAACCGTCTTTACAACCCCTGTGGAGAATGGAGAATGGGAATTTGAGCTTGTTTGTTTTTTGTGTGTCTAGTACGTTTGGTGTGAACATCCGGTTAGAAACGGCGATCTGCAGCAGCACTGCCCTCTGCCTACATTTAGACCAAATAGACCCTGAAATGTAAGCCAGACGATGACAGCTGCTGGTAAAAAAGAAAGTGTAGGAGGAGGAAGGAGCCGAAGCACAGACATGAAGAAGTGTACGAAGCACATTTATGGCCTGCCCGCTGCAGCTGATGTGCAGACGGATCAGTGCTCTTCATTCCTTTGGGCAGCAAAAGCAAAGAAAGGGACGGTACAGTCTTAATTTGAGTTCTACTGGACATGCTTCCAAAAGTCAGTAAATGCATTTATTGCAAGGCATCAAGCGAGACGCGGCGCATGAGCAGCAGGCAAACTCAAAGGCTCGGCAGAACACACTGACCTGGCGGTGAGACTGACCGGGTCAGCGCCTCTTCTTCCTTCTGATTCAGTGCAGAACAGAGACAATCAGGTCAACTGGGGTTCAAGAAATCAGGACACAAAACCGAGGTATGGCAGTAAAATGATTTAATTAAGAAAGAGAGCTGACATTTGAACAAATCAAAGTGAAAAAAAATCAAAAATCAAAATGATGCCATCAGCAGGTGTTTAAAGGCAGCAGGTCTACTGTGCGAGAACATGCGTCTCTTACAGTACCTTCAGGTCGGCTTCAACCTTCCTGGTTCTCTTCATGATCTCCTCGATTCTCTGGAAAAAAACAAACATCAATATTTTTGTTGTTAGGTTTCAGTTCTGTTGTTGTCAACTGTTCTGCTGCCGTAAACCTGGTGTCGACCTTTTTTCTGAGTTGCCGCTCCTCTTCTTGTTGTGTCTGCATGTCTCTGTCTTGTCGCTGACGCTCTGTGTCCTCCTGAGGTTGGACTTTGGATTTGTCTTTCTGTTTGGATCAAGACAAAATGTAGAAAAAAAATGATTTCTATAAATAAGTTCCCAGCACTTTTTATGAATCATCTCGTACCTCTTTGTCCATCTGTGTGTGAAACACCTCCTTCTCCTTCTCCTTCTCCTTCTCCTTCTCCTCCTTCTGTTGTTGTAGTCTGTGAAGATCCTCTCCTTCATTTTTCTTCTTCTTCTCCTCTACAGGTTGATGTTTCACGTCCGGCTGTCTCTTCTCCTTCAGCGTTTGGTTCCTTAACTGCTCCTCCTTAAGCCTGTGCCCCAGGTACAAACTTAATCTGTTTATTTTTTTAATTTTAAACACATTAAACAAAGTCTGAGGTCGATGTACATCCGTCCGTTTTCATCTGTTTACTTTTTAAATTTTAAACACATTAAACAAAGTCTGAGGTCGATGTATTACACTCACCGTTCCTCTTTCTCCTGTTCCTGTTTCTTCTCTTCCAGTTCTTTCTGAGCTCGGGCCTGACGTCGGCGCTCTGCCAGCAGCCTGGTGGCCTCCTCAGCACTGGTGGTGCCGGCTGCTGCTCTCGCCGCCTGCGTCGCTGATTCTGTCAAACAGAACGGCAGCGGCCGTTAGAAAAGTTCTCACTTTTAAACCTCATTTTTCAGGTGAACAAACGCTGGGCTGTAATCACCAGTTTTACCGTCTCCGTCCGGAGCGTTGTTGTTGTTCGGAGTCTTCTTCTCTGAAGAGTCCGCTCTGGGAACTGTTTGATCCTTTCTGTCAGGAGACTGATTCTTCGTGTGTGTGTCCTCTCTGAGGTGCCGCTCAGAGGATGGTTTGACTTTAGGGGTTTCACCGCCGGCCTGTGGCGTGGTTGGAGTTGTGCTGCTCGTGTTGGAACTCTTTTTCAGCCCGGTCTCAGCTGCGGGTTCTTCAACGTGTCTCTCCATCTTCTCGTTTGGTCGAGGTCTTGTAGGAGAGAAGTTCTGGTGTGCAGCGTTGGGAGACTGGGGCCTTACCTTCGACGTCAACCTGCACAGAGTCACAGCGTCAGTGTTAGTTAAAGTGTGATCCTCGTCTCAGACTCTGTTCCATCTGAACATCAGTTACTAACACTGGAACAGAGGGATCTACATTTGGAATCACAATCAATCAGAAGAAAGAAAAGAAAAGAAAATGAACCAACACCAGGAATATTGGACTGGGAATTGGTGAGAAAAAAATCACATGTATTTGAACTCAATTTATATTAATGAAAGTGAAATGATACAGCAGTTAAAGATTCTAATTTATTTTAGGCACTGTTTTAAACCGTGAATATTTCATGCCACATTATTTCAGCTTTTTCAAATGAACCTACTTGGAGGTAGTGGGTGAGGCCAACTGCTTGGACACACACGCTGGGGATTCTGGTCTTCTGACAGGAGATCCGTATCCAGGCGATGCCGTTCTTCTCTCTCTGCGCAGACGCTGTTTCTGAAAGCAGATTGGTTCAAGTCACAAGATCTGGAAACCAGCAGCAGCAACGACGTCTGATTCCCAGTTAGGGGAATGTCACGTCGGGGTTCAGGGGTCCAGGACTGACCTTGGGGGTGTTTGTCACGTCGGGGTCCAGGGGTCCAGGACTGACCTTGGGGGTGTTGGGTGTGGACTGAGAGCCTCCCTGAAGACCAGGTCTACTGTGATCTGCAGAGGTCAGTGTGGTGCCGAATGGTGACCTGTGAGGACTGCAGGGTGCTGAGACGACAAAGATTAACGATGCCGTGAGTGGACGAGAAATATTAATACAATCGTGTGTGTGTGTGTGTGTGTGTGTGTGTTGTAGTGAAGTCAAGTCTTAGGTGTTGCCTGGGAAACACAGTCACGTTTCCATGACTTTTATTTATTTTTGTATAAAATGGAATTCGTTCTTTCAGTAGATTTTGATCAGCGTATGTAACAAACACATTTTTAAAAATTTTCTCTCAGTTGTCTTTGCACTGACATCATCAAAATGAACGTATAAAACTAATAATATAATTCCAATATATAATATTGGTAATATAATACCAATGAAAACAGTGAGTCTGGGATGTGAAACAGATCAAAACGTCACCAACTATATTCTGTGTTTTCTCCCTTATTTTCCCACATTTTCTTTGCGGTGAATTCACCTCAAAAACATCTGCAGTCACCTGCTCTCTGAATCTGACAGAGCAGACGGAGACTTCTGAGCTGTGACTCCGTTTTCAGATTTAGGATGGACTGGGCTGAGGCCGGAACTGTTGACGCCAAATTAAATTCAAACCAGTTTTCTTCCTGGGCCACACCTCGAAACATCTTCACAGTTGAAATTCAAACACAGCAGCGTCACCATCAGAGTTCTCAGAAAAACAACTCTGAGTCATTTCCGCTGTCGTGTCTCTGGGCTTAACAGTCGGACTACATTTGTGACAAATAATCTCTAAAGATTTCTGCCACGTCACACAGACACACGTCACATAAAAAAATCTACTGCAAAAATCAATCGATTCCAGCTAATGTCTTGTTCTGTCAGCTTTAGTAACCATGAGTCAAAGCTCTATTTTAAAGTCCAATAGAAAATACTGCGATAAAAATTGAAAGCTGTGATCTTCCTACTCATCCACAGGCTTCACGCATCACTTCATCCTCGTCTGTCATTACTGAGAGGTCACTAATCTGGGCCAACTAATCCAGCGCCTCGACCTATGGGAGAAATTCACACTTCACTTCACTGTGAGGGCTACGAACCAATGATGGTGAGTTTAGTAATGGACAAACAGATGACGAGTGTCTTTAAAAGGGATGTCCGATGATATCGGCCGATGTTAGCGTAATTATTTAATATCTGTGTAATTATTAAAATGTTTTTTCCTCTGATAATGAAACCAAATGATGTGTGACCTAAAAATAGTTTTGGAGAAAAACAGCTGTACCTAAAAGTGAAAGTCACTAGATGGCAGCATTGAAGCTCATTTTATCTCATACTCAAACAGTGGCTTGTACAGATAAATAAATAAATATTACCAGATTACTTGTATCGGTATCGATTGATATCGGAATCAGAAATTAAGTGTTTGGACAATATCAGTAAAAAGTTAATATCGGACATCCCTAGTTTTTTATAATTTTCTATTTTACTGCATGTGGAGCGGCAGAAGAAAGTAGTTCTTTAGTGGTGTGTCACGTGTCGGTGTAAACATTGTTAGAAGACGAGACGAGGACAAATGCAGCGGTAGAAAGTCTCACACACACACACACTGAACAGTGTCCAAACAGAAATTGAACTTGAAGTCAAAACTTCTTGCAGATGTTCACATAAAAACATTTGCAGCTACAGAAATGTTTTTTTAAGCAGCTGAACATGCAGTGACACTGGTTTGCCTTTGACACGGTCAACGTCTCAGTTTCAGCCCAAAGGCAAACGGACACAAGCACAACGATGACCTGATCAATGAACAGGGTGGAATATACACATGGGCAGGGCCATGGGTTGGTGGGGGCTTGACTTTACCAGATTCGCTGACAGCAGGAAGGGGGGAGGCAATGCCATGGGAAAAGGCGGAGGCAGCAGAGAAAGGGAGTGGGGCATTCTCACTGTCACCTATAGGCAGCAGGCGGAGCAGAGCAGAGCAGAGCAGACAGAGCGTTATCAACAGTTCCTCTGAGCAGGTCTTCAGTCGGCTGCAGAGACACTCCAGCAGATGTCAGTGTTGTCTGAGTCACAGTGAAAGGCTGATGGTCAGATTGAATCTGTTTAAATTTTATTGCAAAAGTGGTGACTCCTAAAAACTTGGGGTTTTGCCAATCCTGCCAAAATCTACGACACACTGCTGAATTACATAAAATGCAAAAGTAATTTGAATTTTAAAGTAAGAAAAAGTACCAAAAAACCAGACAAACAAACAAAGAATTAGGCAAAAAAAAAATCTCCTGAAATTCCTTTTGCATTACATTTGCAAACCAATTATTATTATTATTATTTTTCAAATATTGTTCTGATTGTTTCTTGGGTGTAACTCCAAGAGGATTCAGAAACACCTGCATGTTTCTGCAGCCAGGCCGTGGTTACAGTCAGGCCAAACACACACACTCACACTCAGTCAGTAAACTGAGTTGATTCTGAAACTTCTCAGTCTTCTCGGTTTCTGTGCCTTTAACCCACCTGCTCCGTTGGTGCAGCCCCTGCTCCACCGTTTGCCCCTCTGCTCCAGCAGAAGGCTTCGCTCCAGAGACCGTTTCATCAGGGCGTCCAGTCGCTCCTGCATTTCACAGAGAAAAAAAACGGTGTTGTGGCAGAATTAACCTTTGAACTCTAGCCATTTATTTTTATAAAATAAGATGCAAACATTTTAAAGTTTTTTTGTTGCAGTACTACCGTTGTCCAGCAGGGTGCATAAAAGCACTTAAAATCAATGAAGCTATTTTTCTCCATCTTCTTGAACTTTAAAAAAGTTAAATGGTCAAATATGACAGCAATTTTTTTTGTGGGGAGTAGTTTGGTATTTTAACATATTTACAATTTCCCTGTAGAACCATGTTTGGCTCCACCTTCACCTGACTCTCTGCTCACCCTCTCCTCCTCCAGCTGCTGCCTCCTCTTCTCCTCCACTGCAGCTCTACGCTGCTCCTCTTTCTGCCTCTGCTCCTCCAGGCGTCTCCATCGCTCCTCCACCGTACGCTCGTACTGCAGCCGAGCTCTGCGGTCCTTCTCCCTCATCAGCTGCTCCCGGGCCGCTGAAGTGAAAACAACCAAATTTGAGCAAATTAGAATGTGTCTGTGTGTATCGCAATATATCGCAATATATCGTATTGTTACACGTATCGTATAGCTAGTTTGCCAAAAACACTCCCTTAGAACACAGTGAGTTCATGATGAAAAAACCGCGGGTTCGAAACCCTGGACCCACAGTTCCCCTCTTACCCAGGCTTCTCTCCTTCTCCTCGCGTCGCTCTTTGGCTAATCTCATCCTGTCGTCTGTCTTCATGTAACCGTCCACAACTGAAAGACAAAAGAAGTCAATGAATAATAATAAAAAATTCACACAGCATAAACAACGAGACGGTTCGTCTAGATAGAAGTGAGCGGCCGGACTTACGTTGTTTAGCTGCGTGGTTCGCGGCCAGGTGAGACGGAGACGCCTGTCCGTTAACGTGTGGCTTTTTCTCGGTGTGTGACGGAGCTGGAATGACCAGGACAGGGGCAGAAAAGGACAAAATCACACGGTAATGGTCAGAAAATCAATAACTCCAGCTCTCCTGGGGCTGCAGTGCTGCTTCAGCGCCGTCAGAGGGAGACATTTCTGCAGTTTTGTGTCCAGTAAATTACATTGCACAATCCAGAAATGCTTCCATGCCAAGGGCAAACTGCAGTAATGCCCAGAGGAGGAGTGGAAAACTACCCTTGATGTAATGGTCACTCCGCTCAGTACTGGACCTGAAGGTCCGCGGACTCGTGTTGGACCATAACTTAGTAGACTTAGAGCGGAGTTAAAAACATTTAATCCAGATGAGATTAATCTGTGTAAAAAAAGTGAAGATTACTCAACTAGTTTTCCCAGCTCGTCCTGGAGAGCCGTGTCCGTTCGTGGGTGATTTCTTTTCAGGGAACAGTGTGATGGAGGGTGCAGCCATCTTTTCACCTGACACACAACACATCACGTGATCATCACTGGTGTTCTAACACAAGTTCATAAACAATAACTGTGGTCACAGACGGTACTGAGCTATAACGTACATTTATAAACATCACATGGCAGATATGAAACAACAACACAGAGTTTTTGTTGTTTTTCTGTTTATAGTTTCATAGTTTCAGAGTTTTTGTTGTTTTTCTGTTTATATATAATATAATATAATTATATGCATGAGTGTGTTATTTTATAAAGATATACCGAAGCAGAAAACAATGTATATTATTATTATTATTATATATGGGACTAGAATCCAGCAGGGGCCTCGGCTCCATCTCTCCATCAGAGGGTCGTTGGTTCGAAGACCTCTTCATGCTTCATGACTTTCTTCTATATTTTTATAAACCAGAATAATAACATCGAACTCATTTCCTCTCCCGTCCATCACACTCAGCTGCGTGCATTGATCATTTCCGTTACCACGTGGGTGGGCTACATCGAATGCCCTAATGCGTGTTTACAAGAGCGTTTATGGTTCTGTGCGGTCGGCTGAACTCTGTGATGTTACAGATAAATGATAAATGTCATCTCTCCAAGCCACCCGGGAAACTGACGAGACGTGGAGGAGTTAGGGACTCACCTTTCAGGAGCTCTGATCGATGTACAGTTTGTTCTGTTAAAAAAAAAAAAAACAACAAACTTTCACCTGACCGACTTCTCTGCAGAGGAAATGACCTCCGTCATCGAGCCACAGCCAGGAGGCGCCCTCCTCATTTAAACATTCAAACATTTTATCTGAATCATCATGACCCACAAAACGGAAACCTCATTGTAACACGACTCCAAGTCTCCAGAGGACTGACTACAGATGAACACTGACTTTCTAATGGATAAAAACCTCAAACCGGGTTGGTCAGTTTGTGTCGTTGATCATGCACGAAATAAGCTTGAGTGAAAATCTGCACTGGCTGCACACGCAGTCAGCATCAGCATCCCTCACAGAGAGCAGTGCGTCATTGAGAACTCCACTGCTCCACCACAGCAGCACAGGAACAATAACACAAACCGGGCCAAAACCCGTGAGCTCACCGTACCTGCCAGAGCGCCGCCGGACGGCGCGGCTGTTTTCGCCATGGTACGCTTCAAGAAGCAGAGATGGAGAAGGAGATGGAAGAGGCGCCGTCACCGAGAACGTTCTACAGTGATGCCAATGCAGCAACAGTATCTGATTTCCCTGCAGCGGCAGCAGCAGCGGCAGCAGGAGGAGGAGGAGGAGGAAGAGGAGGAAGAAGAAAGAGCAGAGCGGACAATAAAACAAACAATGAGCTGGCGATGATCAGTCAGCCCCACGTCCCGATGGTCATTGTGGAAGCTGGAGTTGAAGGACAGGACAGGATGGTGAAGAAAGAGAGAGAGTGAGAGAGAAAGAGAGAGAGAGAGAGGGAGAGAGAGATGCTGCGGAGATGATGGTGCGCACTGACGAGGCACGCAGCGTGAAAACCCGCCCCAGTACAATTACACAGACCATTCATCGGCACATGAGGCGTGTGAACACAGCTACTGTAGGCTTTAATACATTTGACAAATTTTTGCAAGTATTTCCTCACTGCTTTTATGAAGAAACAACCAATTCTTTTAACACAAACACACACAATTTGGTCATTCTGATTAAGAAACTATGAGGGATAAATAAATGATTTTTGCAAGTATTTCCTCAGTGCTTTTATAAAGAAACAACCAATTCTTTTAACACTGTCACTGAATTTGGTCATTCTGATTAAGAAACTATAAAATCTATAGTTGGAAAAGTGGTTGAAATCATTTATTAATGTAATAAAAACCAGTTTAGATCAGTTGCTGACAAATGTCTGACGTATACTGTTACCCTTTCCTGTGTGTCTCATGTCTTCTCTCTCCTGACGTATACTGTTTCCTGTGTGTCTCATGTCTTCTCTCTGTTTGTGTTTGTGTGCTGCAATCGATTGCAGTTGTGTGATTGGATGGTGAGATGTGCATGTTTTTGAGTTCAGGTGAATCCTGTAAACTGATTGGTTCTCTGCCGATGGTTCCAGTCCAAGGTATCAGATTCTGCAAGCTACAGAGGGATGTACTGTACCTGGTCAGCACACTTGACCATCCTGTCAACAAACATGCATATAAACACAACTTTACAGTCTTTGTGCAGTCACGCGAGGATTATGAAATCCACTACTTATAATTTCGGGAGGATGTACACTTTAAACTATAAAAAGCGTCTTAATATATACTGAACTAGTGACGAAATCTATATTTTTCAATTTAAACCAATGATAAACACGTATAATCACTGTTACGGTGGCAGCAGCGATGAATTCTGTGGTTATTGACATCAGCGAAGAAGAAGAGGAAAAGTGACCGGAAGCGGAAGTGCGTAGGCTGTCAGAAGGACGGAGAAGGATCCCTGAGTTGGTGGTTAGCAGTCAGCTAGTGCCGGAAAGATGCTGTCAAACATTTCCAATGTCCTTCGAGCCTGCGCTCACAGAAATGTAAGTTAATTGTATAAACGAAATGACGCCATGCAACACACAAAAACTACACTTTATATTTATTTTACAAACCTCCCTATAGTTATTTTAGACACAGTTGTCACTCCTGTGCTGACCTTGTAGAGCCGAGTGTTAGCTTGGGTGGCTACCACAACGACAAATCAGCAGAAAAATAACTCCATAATAGCTCCAGTTGTGTTCCAGTACTATTAAAAACCTCCGTACATAATCTCAACAACCTGAATTTGGCAGTAGAATATAACTCGATATATTAGTTTTAACGATAACGATAGCTCGCAGTAACAGATAGCTCATTCTGTAGGAAAAACACGTTACAGGTTTGTGTTTGTCTTGGCATTCAGTCTTGCCCCGCAATAAAAGCTCGTATCTGGTGAGTTAAATGTCTTTATAACTGAGTCAGAATGATTAGATATTTTCAGTTATCTGTGTTGGATAATTTAAAAAAAAATCTGAATTAAACGTCGTAACAGTTGGTGATGTCATGAAACGTCACAGCCCAGAGTAGTGTTTACTTCTTAAGCTAAACGTTGTTCGGTGGATTGATGTGTCTGTCAATGTTCAACATTATTTTTTACAACTTTAACATACATTTTACCGTCTCTTCTATGTTGTAAATGTACATGTATAGATAATTAATTATCAGTTATCATGAATTATACAAATACTTACATAATATTTTAATCAAAATGTACCCATTTAAAAACTTTCATCTTGCAAAACAGCAAAAAAAAAATTACTAAACATTGTCCTTCTTTTTAGGCTGGTGCTGTGGTCATGTCTGCACGCACATATGCTAACTTCACAACCGAGGCATCCTTCGAAGTAAAGGCAAGTTTCAGACAGGACATTGTCTTCTGTTCCTCATTATTAATGCAAATATGAATATATAAATATATATATATATATATCATGGATAATCATATATTTTCCCCAAAATATCTCTAGAAATGTGACCTTTTCAAGCTGGACGAAGGTCCGGCCACGGAGGTGGTTATGACTCGTGATGAGGGGCTGCAGTACTACCGCACCATGCAGACCATCAGGCGTATGGAGCTGAAGGCAGATCAGCTGTACAAGCAGAAGATCATCAGAGGGTTCTGCCACTTGTATGACGGCCAGGTTGAGTGAACTTTGAATATTGATGTTATTGTTATAGTCAATAGGAATATTAAGGTACAGTCTTTTGACCAGATGAATGTTAACATCTGTTAAAAAAGGGGGGAGAGAGGTGATTAGAAAAATAACTTTTTCCAACACTCACTGTGGGTTTCTTTTTATAGGAAGCTTGTGCTGTTGGTCTTGAAGCATCTATTAATCTGTCTGATCACCTGATCACTGCGTACAGAGCCCACGGCTACACTTACACCAGAGGAGGGAAAGTGAAGCAGATCATGTCGGAGCTCACTGGTCAGTCTGCAAATTCCTTTTTTAAAAACATTTTAAATATTTTCCTAAAATTCATCACCTCTTTTCCCCCCCACGTTTGTGTTTCTAACACACAGGGAGAAGAGGAGGAATTGCAAAGGGCAAAGGAGGCTCCATGCACATGTACTGTAAGAACTTCTACGGTGGAAATGGAATTGTTGGAGCTCAGGTATGTCATCCTGTTGTGCCATGTAGTAAAACTGTAAAACAAAACAAAACAAAAATGTAAACTCTTTTGTTTGTTTCAGGTTCCTCTTGGTGCTGGTGTTGCCCTGGCCTGTAAATATCAGGGCAACAATGAGCTCTGCGTCTGCCTCTACGGTGACGGTGCTGCCAACCAGGTATGAAACCAAAGAGTCAAAATACTGTGAAGAGAATGGAGTTGAACCTGTTCCATGGCTTTACTGGAGTTAGATCTGATCTCCTGATCCTGTCGACAGTTTTTCTTTGAAGTGAAAATACTTTCAGATTTGACATCTCAGAGTTTAACCTTAATAATTTGATTGCTCTTCTCTGAACTAGGGTCAGATCTTTGAGACCTACAACATGGCAGCACTTTGGAAGTTGCCCATCATCTTCGTCTGTGAGAACAACAGGTATGGAATGGGAACGTCAGTGGAGCGAGCTGCAGCCAGCACTGATTACTTTAAGAGAGGAGAATTCATCCCTGGTCTCAGGGTAAAGTTGTTGTTTTTTTTTGTTTTTTTATCTGTTTTCCACTGCCATTGTTTCATCACACAGATCTCTGCGTTTTATTGACAGACTTATAACAAATCTGCTGCTGTTTTCCTTTGTCCAGGTGGACGGTATGGATGTACTGTGTGTTAGGGAAGCAACCAGGTTTGCAGCCGATCACTGCCGATCTGGGAAGGTAACAAGAAAAATATTTAGTCAAAAACTTGGGATGTTATGTTTGTCTTTTTGAGCTTGAACACTTCTTCTGTCTTTTCTTAGGGTCCCATTCTCATGGAACTCCAGACGTACCGTTACCATGGACACAGTATGAGTGATCCTGGCGTCAGGTTGGACTTCACTCTTATTTTAAAATACACAACGTTTATTTGACTTGAGTAAAACAATACAACATTTTTCGGTTGAGTTGTAGGAAGTTTTCACGATGAAATATTTACACACTGAAATAATTGGATTTGAGTGTCACTGCTATAACGATGAGTGATTTATTCTCTCTGCCGTCAGCTACCGTACACGTGAGGAGATCCAGGAGGTCCGCAGCAAGAGTGACCCCATCTCCCTGCTGAAGGATCGCATGCTCAGCAACAACATGGCCAGTGTGGAGGAGCTGAAGGTGAGTGAGACCAACGTATATAAACATTGGAATATAAAAAAAGGAATAAGGAGAAAAAGTATCAATTCTAAAATTGTACATCAGACAATATCATAACAACCAGTGTATTGATGTGGTTCCTGCAGGAGATCGATATCGAGGTGAGGAAGGAGATCGAAGACGCCTCTCAGTTTGCCACCACAGATCCCGAGCCCCCGCTGGAAGACTTGTGCAACCACATCTTTTCCAACAGCCCACCACTGGAGGTGCGCGGCACGAACCCCTGGTCCAAGCTGAAGTCCGTTAGCTAAAGGTTTTATATCGGCCTCTGCTCCGCCCTCTCTTCGACGCTGTATTATAACGACAACCCAAAGCCACACATACACACGCACACCACGGAACGGAGTCTGAGTCTGAGCAGAGTCCAGTCCAGTCCATCAGGTAGGAGGAACATTTTACCAACACAGTTCAGATCTACCCGAAATGATGGAATAAAACGTCTTTATTTATAATGACTTTGTTACTACATCGGTGTAGTACTACTACAAAGTACTACACACTGTAGTACACTGTCCCTGGTGGGTTGACTGAGTCATGCCTGAAATCAAGTCTCTTCACATTTTAAACATTTGTTTCTACATATTTTCTGCCATTCTATTTTTTGCCTAAACCAATCTGAAAAAGGATCCATTCACACTGACCTCATGGAGCGTCCTGTTGTTTAAATGTTGTTGTTTAAAAGTGTCGGGTCGTCTTCATGTCACACTCCAGGCAAAGACGTGAGCAGTGACAACACTGGCTCAGATGAGCAGGAAATTGTGGACAGGATGAATTTCAGTCTTTTGTTTTTTTAACATTAATCTAATGTTTCTTGACATCAGAAAGAAAAGGGACATTCTGTGTTTAAAAAAGAAACAGACTAAATTTGGAACGTCCTTCTTGGCTTCGTCCACACTGCTTTATGTGCAGACAGTGTGCTTGTTGTAAACTGTTACATTGAGGTTGGCAAATGGCTCGAACATTGATTCAATATGGGAGTCACTAATAAATCTACTGTATTTCCAGCTTCCTCTCTAGACTCCTTCGTGGTCATTAGTTTTTCTGATGTTTCTTCTGACAGATGTTTTTAAGTTGCAGTCTCCCAGTGAGTCTTCAGAAATGTTTGAATTTCTCTTTAACATCTCAATTTTCCTAAGTTTGGTTACTTTCAGGTTTGAACATATCTTCATAATCTCCAGCTACCAGTGGACACCTAGTACCAGTGGACACCTGGTACCAGTGGGTAAATTCCCATCAGTTACAGCTGCTCCGTTCTGCTGAGCTGCACTTTACATAAAGTTAAAAAAAAAAAATCTGGAAACTTTTTTTATAAAAACATTTATTTGGCCCATTAGCAGATGGTGGTTTTTCACAAATAACATTCATCAGTTCAGTTTGTCAAAATACTTCAGTTTGCCGGACGGGTCTGGAATGATCTGGAAGGAAACCATTTGTTGAATTAGCACACATTTATTTTTAAATCATGAACTAAAACAGTTCTTGTAAAACTTACTGTGTCGCTGCCGGGCTTCCATCCTGCTGGACACACTGTGGAGGAGACGACATGACAGCCACTTAAGAAGAGCTCCTAAAAACATTGATCTGTGACCCAGATAAATCTGAAAATCTGAACCATGAATAATTTGAAGTTGAAAAATCATGATTTTTTCCTTTTTTAATCTTCATTTCCTAAAGTAAACAGTGCCTGTTTTTATGCTTCAGATTACAAACCTGAACCTTGAACCACAGGGCCATGGGTCGGCCAACGTTTTCCTTTTTTAATCTTCACTATATTGTTGTAGTTGAAGGGCTACACCGATAGGGGGTGCCCATTTCTATAACCTCTTGTTATGTGACTATACACACACATTAAGGTCCCAGCATATTCAACACTTCAACTTGGACATTTGGAGCGTACTCGTAGCTCCCCCTGCTGGGTGGTGAAGTCAGTGTGCCGTACCTTCTCCGTGTTTGTCAGTGTACTGGAAGGCCTGGACCAGCCTCAGGGTCTCATCCACGGACCTCCCTACTGGGAGGTCGTTCATGGTGATCTGCCTCAGGATGCCTTTGTCATCGATGATGAAGAGTCCTCTGAGGAAGAAAAACAAAACATTAAAGTCAGACTTGTATTATATGTACATTGTAGGACCATAAAATTCATTGAGTTCATGTTTACAAGTCAGTCATTTTATCTTTACCTGCTTCCATCAATCATCACCTAATGTTCTCTAGTACAACACCACGCTGAGTCAACAACAGTTTGACTTAACAGCCATAATAACAGCATGTCTACAACAGTTTGACAACAGCCATAAACCAAGCTGAGGTCTGTACCTCAGTGTGTGACCCTGGTCCTCCAGGTAGACTCCATAGTCTTTGGAAATCTGGTGAGTGAGGTCGGACAGCAGGGGGATCTTCATTGGTCCGAGGCCTCCCTCCTTCCTGGGCGTGTTGATCCTGTCAGGTGAGAGTAGAACATCATCCATGTCTGTACAGGTCTATATTCACACATCATTGCTCTCCATCCCTCATTATAACCCAGTGTAAACCAGTGACAGTTGTACCAGGCCAGGTGAGTGAACTGGGAGTCTACAGAACAGGCGACCACTTCTGTGTTGATGGCCTGAAACTCGTGGACACGATCGCTGAACGCGATGATCTCAGTGGGGCAGACAAACGTGCTGCGACAGAAGAACAACATGAACCGGTAAGTCAAATTAACTTGAAAATTGTAAAGATAAAAAAATGCCCAAGAATCGGTCATCACTCACAAGTCCAGAGGGTAGAAGAAGAAGACCAGATATTTCCCCTTGTAGTCCGACAACTTCACCTCCTTGAACTCTCCGTTGATGACGGCCGTTCCTTCCCAGTGTGGAGCTGGCTTTGAGACTAACGTGAAACGAGAAAAACAGAACAGAAAACGTCTGTTATGTATTAAAAATACCGGCAAAAATAGAAATATTTGAAGAAAAAAAATCGTTGAAGTCATGCTTTGGCTAATGATCTTTAAATGACTAGGTTAGATTTATTTTTCTGCTGATGTGAATACAAAAACAACAATGTCTTCAATGGCAGCTTATAAAATGTAAATACATTTCCTTTCTGGCTTCTTGTGGTTTTTCTGCTGATGTGAAGACAAAAAAAACAATGTCTCCAATGGCAGGAAATACATTTCCTTTCTGGCTTCTTGTGACTAATTTGCCACTGGAAGTACCACCAGCGGTACATGCACCCCAGTTTGAGAACCACTGCTGTAAGATATGAACGAATATAGCAGGGAAACTTGCGTTTGTACTATTGGCATTCTTTGCTGTTTGTTGTGTAGTCCATATTCTCCCCGTGTCGGTGACGCCACAACGGCCTGAAGGGGGCGGAGTCGTGTAATCCAATGATTTTAAAGAGAATGACGTGTCCTAAAAAACCCTGCTGATTCGGGTCACGTCTGTTCCGTCATATATATATATATATATATAAACAAAGTTTTAAAACTTTTTACAATCAAACAAAGGCGGTGACGTGAACTCGAACCTGACGCTGTTTCTATCGTGAGCACAGACGTCCATCATCTACTGCCGTAAACCACGTCAGCGTGCAGACATTTAATGAAACACTAACTAACTGTGCACGGACTCACTCTTGGCTTTGCTCAGGTGCAGAGAATGGTCGGAGACGGGGACGCGGAAAGCCTCCCCGGGATATACGTGTCCTCCGGCGTAGTTGTGACACTGGGAGTTCCTCAGATTCGCTGCTTGGTCTGCAGAAGTGACCGCGGAGCTGAGGACGAGGAGGAGGAGGAGCGGGAGGAGAGCCTGCTGTTTCACTCCAGTGAGAACGTGGAACTCCATTGTGCAGACCTTCTGGAAGCACGTAGCTGTCTGTCTGTGCGGGGCAATACGTTCAGTGTTCAACCGCCGTCCTCTTCCGCCTCCTCTCTCCTTCTTTCAAGTTTTCCAAACGGTAAGACTTCTTAATATCTCAATACTGCCATCTACTGGAGCTATTTGGGATTTTTTTATTCAATTGAAACCACTTTGTCTCGTGCTGTACATACATACTGTACACAAAGTCACGCGTGAAGTAGAAATACGTACAAATATTTTTTTTATTGTTTTATTTAAGAAAAAGCTATTTCTGAACAACGTTTATAGAAAAGCTTCGCCGTAAACATTTATTTTCTTCGGTTCTTTACATCTTTGATTCTGCTTCAGAAGAAGAACATTTTACATCTCTTTGTTTTTTTTAATTAAAAAAAGGTTAAGTACATACAATGACATGAAGGATATTAAACCGCAATATGCAACTTCACCACTAGATGTTGTTAAACCCCACACAGCGACTCTTTGCTGTAGGTTTACTATTTCAGTTCATAGCAGTTTGTATTAAGGAACTGTAGTCCATTGTTGGTGTATTTAGAATTTCAGAACTACAGAAGGAGAGATAATGTCTTTTGTGCCTTTTATAACAAAGGAAAAAAAATCCAGAATTCCCAGATGCAGCCGAGGATCTTTTCATTTTTACACAACAACAGAATTTTATGTCATATTGTTTGAAAGACTGAAGGTATTTATTTCATATGTAGTTCAATAATATGCAGTTTAATTAATCAGATAAAGAATAAAAAATATGTGCCTAGAAACTCAAGTTTCAGCAGCATTCTGCTTTTTTAAATGTACTAGAAATATGTGCCTAGAAACTCAAGTTTCAACTTCTAAAGAACAGTTGGTCCAGTGAAAAAAAAAATCAATGACAAAAATCAATGACATTTTACACAGAACTCATAGGCTTGAAGTTGGAGAAATATAACCATGAGTCACATGAGTTGTTTTCATGTGACACGGAGGAAACTGGATTTCCATGACGTGTTGCTCAATCCTAACCACGGTGTCATTGGGGGTCACAGAAAAAACACTTCCCAGAAAAGGGTTGTGAAAAAGTCAGAGCGACAGAAACATTTACAAAACAAAGATTTGTCAGAGGAGAGAAAACTCTGTTGATTCTTTTTGACCTTCCTGCGTCGCAGCTTACTGGGCTCCACAGGCACAGGTCGTGTTTTTCCAGGTCTGGTTAATGTTTACGTTTGAATTTCAGCAGAATGTAAACCGTTGTGTTAGAACGTCCTGACAAGGAAGAATGTTGTGTTTTAAAACTTAAAAAAAATCTTTTCACCAGAGATTTTTGTTCCTTCATAAATATTTAGTGTCCAGGTCACTTTCAGTCTTGTTTTGACTTTCTTTTTTGGGTTTATGAGTCAGATTTACGAGACTCAGAAAGTGAAACATAAAATGTAAATTTTCTTATTTTTATTTTTAAAACAATCCTCATTTGGATCATATTACATATACATGCTTCAAGGACAATTTAGAAGCTTTTTTTTAAACCCTAGGGTAAATTCCCTTACTTTGCCTCTGTTTACGCTCGCCTCACCCCTTTTTGACGTAATGATCACATGGTCTTCCTCCAGGGACGCATAAAAAGAGAAGCTGCTTGAGGTGGAGCAGACTCTACAACAAAATCATCCCCATTCAGTACATGCTGAATTTCTACTTCTGACATCGGGGGTAAACTCCTGAGGAGCGAATGAAGAAACAAATTCTTCTTCTATTCACATTCAGAGGACTAGTGAGCAAAGGGAAAAGAGTTAAAAAAAGGAAATGGCAAAGTTTATATTACGGAAGGCTGAACCCAAGGACGTATCCGACATCCTGCGACTCATAAAGGTAAACTAAGTTTGATTCCATTTATTTTCTGTTCAACTGTTATAATCAATTTACTTAACTTTATCTTTAATTAAGTGTGAATAACTTTTTTTTTTTGCTCATTTAGGAACTTGCTAAATTTGAAGAGATGGAGGAGCAGGTCAAACTGACAGAAAAAGGTGATTAAATCTGTCTTATGATAAATGATACATATGTCAGTCACACAATAGTTTGTCCTGATATTTTTTTCTGTATGACCCAACGACCTGCAGATCTGCTCGAGGATGGCTTCGGGGATCATCCATTTTACCACTGTCTGGTTGCTGAGATCCCAGAAGAACAAAGCTCAGACGGTAAAGATACGGTTTGTCTGTACAAAGTCCAAAGTTTGTTTTTTTACATAATGTTATATATATTGTTGTTTGGCTACTTTATAGCTACTTTAAGTGTTGTAACATGAGATATTTTAGCAAATGGTTTACTTGTTTTAAGACTAGCTTTAAGGGTTTACAACAAATTACATTTGTTGACATTACAAGACTTAAAATGTCCCTGAAAGCTGCGAGGTAACCAAGCAACAGACGACATTGGATAAAAATAATGCAGCAAAAATAGATAAAAGTCCAACTTGGAGATAATTAATAGCTGGCCCATTTAATACGATAAGTAGAAATTATTTAAACATTGCATAATGAATGGAGATATACCCAAAGATTATTTAACAAATCTAGCAGAAACCTTGCTAAAATTTAACCGAGACGATAGCAAAATGCTAGCTTTGAGCCACACGTCTGTGAAATGTTTATGACACTTTCATGCATCGAAGTTTTCTTATCTCTTTCTTTTTCCCCATCACAGGTTACACAGTAATTGCTTTTGCAATGTACTACTTTACATATGACCCTTGGATTGGAAAGCTCCTTTACCTGGAGGACTTCTATGTAATGCAACAATACCGTGGTAAGACAGAAGACAAGTTTAATGTCCTGTAAGGGATAGGAGTGTGATAAAAATGTTAATAAGTTACCCACGAAAGGGTTGTGCAACATTACCAGAATCTTTAAAAAACATCAGTTTGAATTGTTGACACTGCTCCCTGTTTAATACAGGTCTGGGCATTGGTTCGAAAATCCTACAGGTGCTCAGTGAGGTGAGTTTTCCACCACTGTTGACAGATCTACTTCAATCGACTGGTATTCAAACCAAAGTTTGCCCTTTTTGTCTTTTCAGACGGCAGTGAAAACTCGCTGTAGCAGCATGCACTTCATTGTTGCAGAAAACAACACAAAGTCCATTGAGTTCTACAAACACAGGGGAGCGACTGACCTCTCCTACGAGGAAGGATGGCGTCTCTTTGCTATTAATAAGATGGAGCTGGTGAAAATGTCTGGCAAATAAAGTTGACTAATGCTGACTGATGAGAAAACGCTACAGTCTGGCTGGTGACACATTAGAACAATTCAATGTAACCTTTAATGGTTGTTTTGTTTAATTTATTTTGACGTTAACACTTGGTTATTGAATAAAAACACTTTAACTGTGATAACTGTGCTCATTTTTTACTACTGCCTCATCTGATGTTTCCTTGTCAAATTGGGAGTTCAGTTTGTTTGTAGTAGCTAAGCTCAAAGTCAACCAAAAAAAACAAAAAACACATCACCCAGTATTTTACAAATGTATTTACTAAAATATGATTTTGGGGGAAATATTACTACAGTATGTCTTGACATAATTTAAATACTGCAATGATACATACATTTATATATATACCCCTGTGTGTGTATGTACACTGCACCATCATCATGTACTTCTCTGCCACTCCAGACTACATTCAACAATCTAGTGTCCCCTATGACACTTCCTGGACTGACCAGATAAGTCAGCTAACATTTAAATAGTCAAATGCTACATTTGTCATGAACAAATAACTGAGATTGTGTACATATTAGAGAGTAGGTTGGTTTGGATGTGAAATTATCTCCCAGAAGAGGTCGAGTGTTTATCCAAGTTTCTTTGGACCATTGCAGTGTGGAATCAATCACGTCAATCGTCAGCCCATTGTTATCTACCACCAACTAAGGAGAATCCCTCGTTAGTTTCAACACTGCGGTGTTAACAGAGATCTAACTCGGTGTTCACGGTGCTCTGAACATGGCCTGTTGGTTCCTGCCGCTGTGATTTTCACCGCAGCCCTTCCGCATTTTCCTGCCGCTCTCGGGCTGTGACGTGTCGTGCTGACGGCGGCCTCGTATCTGGAGGAGCAGGGGGCTGTAGCACAACAAGACTCTGGCTCCAGTCGCATTGCTTTGCTTTCGGCGAAGCTCCAGAAACATCCACTAACCCCTCCTTCTCTGCTCATCTCCGGCCCGCCCAAATAACACAAAATTCCCGACTGAATCCTGCCCAAGTCTGGGGGAAGCAGGCGGCCTGGGAAAGCCGAGCAGCGGAAAGAGGCCACCCCTGCAGCGAAAATCGGGTAAGCGGCTCACAGTAACTCCCACAGTATACGTCTGCAGAGCTATGTTTGCATTTTGTGCATGTCGGCGTCTCCGTATTTTTGCGTGCATGCAATCTTTAATTTATCTCTCTATTGTCACAAAGAGGCCGCAAAGGGTTGGGCCTTTTCTTCTCAGGCCCGGGCCTCCACAGAGGCCGTAACTGGCGACCCGGGCCTTTCTGGTAGACTACCCTGCCGTACTTGGCGTAATAATTATTCAATATCAACCTCCTGTTACTTTTTGGCCTCAATATCTTATTAACTGGTCATTCTTACGTGTATTTTAACATTTATTACACGGGGGTGTGGTATTTACTTTCCGGCGGGAATGTTTTTTTGTAAGCGTCCAAGTTAGCATTGAAGCTAACAAAATGGCGGACGCCTGTGTGATGAAAATCGGTTGAGGAAAGGGAGTGTGTGCGGAACGACTCACCTTTTGTGCCCCTCACTATTGATGCTACCCCCTGCCGTTTACATTCATTAGTTTGCATCATGTTGGTGCTTTACGCATTTCTTTATTTTACATGCACGTCTTTTGGCTCTGACGGTCGCAATGAAGTGTTTTGTGTTAATGGGCGCTAAAGCATCACCAGCGTTCATTTGTAAACACAACTGCTAATTATCGTATCTGATTTTTACCATGTGTTGTATGAATTAAATGCTGAAATGGCTCAACCAAATGGCTTGGTGGGTTTTAATGTATCTTATGCATGAATTTATCACTGATGATGCACTGAATTGTTGTGCTGCATCCTCACACACCGTTGCCATCGCTTTTCCTCACTTGGTCGTGGGGGGATGGTACTATCAGTGATAATTAAATGGCACCCAGCTGCATCAGTTACTCTACTGTTTACATCTCAGCGCCTCATTGTATGTGACAGCGATGTTAGTGTCTTCCAGGAGCTCCTCTGCATCCCCGTGATGGATGTAGTCACTTTGCTGTTGGGTGAAGTGATGATAGTCGTCCACCTTTCTGCCCTTTGCTGGAAGCATGAGCTTCATCAATGAGAGAGCCACGGTTTTTGGTGTTTCATGTTGTGGTTCAAATGTGAAACCTAATTTATTTTAATGTAATCCAACTTGATTCTGATGTTGCAGTTCTCACTCAGTTTGACCTAAAGTAACTTGAAGTGAAGTACACCAAAGAAATTCCCCTCCAAAACCGAAACAGCAGCCATTCATTCAGGTCATTTTGAACAGAGACCGGACTCTCGTTTGTCATTTGGTATAGTTTCAGAGTGTGTTTGATTTTCAGGATTCGAGCTTGTTTTACACATGAGTGAATTCCTGTCCCACAGTAGCTCAATGTTGTTGTGTTTCTACTGTATATTACAACATTTAGTTTATCAGTTTAGTCTTGTTTTCCTCTTTGTTCCACTTTATGATATTTGACTTCAGGCTCAATGAGAACATAAGTAACGAGGTTTGATTGGCTCTGCTTTTTAAATATTTTTCATATTTTAAAAACATTTGAAAAAAGTTGTTTTTTTATCTTAAAGAGACTTGGAGAGGAAAAAAGTTGTATTTTTTTATCTTAAAGAGACTTGGAGAGAGAGAGAGAGAGATTGGTTATTTAGATTTTTTTTTTTCAATTCTCCATATTTATGGATTTCCTTTAAAAAATAAATGTTTGCTGTTTTGGGCCATTGCAAGTAGTTTTTTGTTTTAAAAAAGATAATCACATTTGCAATGTAGCGGCAGTTAAAGAAATGTTTGTCAGCAGTAGTCCAGGTCAGCAGCACTAGAGCAACAACAGCGTTGTCTTATTTGTCATGTGATTCCCATTATCACATTAACCACATGTCACTAAAAACCCTCTGTGTTTTTCTCTTTTTTTTCTCACCAAAGAACAACCTTCCACATGTGAGTCTGTAAATGAAATGATCTGATCGGGGTGATGTTAAGTGACTGCAGCCCTGCCTTTAACAACCTATAGTTATTGCAGTTGCATGCGTTGTTCACACATGATTCACAGTTTTTCATAACAGTGAATCAGCAGCTCATATTGTGCCACTGTGTACTGAAGCCAGTGTGTAAGCATGAGTTGAACTGCTTTGGTCCGGTCCTCTGTGTTGGCATCGTGCATGTGCATGCACTCGCTGTGCAGACGTAACAGAACATGTGGAGCTGACGTCTAATTTAAGTTGTAAGAACTTAAATTAGCCCAGAACCCAGCCTGTACGCAGTCAGTTTGTTATGGTTTTCATATATAATAAGTGCCGATTGCAGTGTTGCTGAAATATCTGAAGGATTTCGTTATTTGCTTTCAGCTGTCCGATAACAAATGCAGTGCGAGGACAATGGATGAGGATGTCACCAGGCTTGCGATACATTCTGAAGAGCCTAAAATAATATTGCACGGATCGGGTAATTAGCCGTACCTGCATCATTGTTTGTTGGAACACATCTTTTAACAATCTTTGAATTTTTGGCTGGTGGTTTGAAAAACTTCAAATGGTGTATTTTAACTTATTTTATATCAGGAAATATTAAAAACTCTATTCTAGCATCACCGTGCCATTTGACTGTTTCAATTTTTTTTGGTCAAAATGATGCTTGTTGTGATCCACAAATTGCTGAACAATCTTTTGTTTTCGATTTCAACAAGATTGTAAATAACTATGACAAAAAAATCATTCAGCTCAGAGATGCTATTGTGTAAGGTTTGGACTAAAGTTCTTTAAGAAACGTGTAAAAGAATCCTCAACAACTTCACTCTGTCATTCAGCAACATGGTCAGACCTGGTAGATAATACTTTCACTGTAGTTTTATTTGAATTTCATGTGAAATCATTTTATTTGGTATGTGAAATTAAGTTAGCTGAGAAATTCTCTGTTCTAATCCTTCGTCTTGTAGACATTTCTCACTGAGTTGCTAAAAGTTGTCGCTGCTTGTACACTGAATGATGAGTTTGTTTCACTTCATGGAGGAGAGAAAGCAAGTTCAACATAAATAGATAAGGCATTGCTGCTTTTTTTCTCCTCAGTGTTGTTGACTGCAGTCTGCTTAACTGCTTCTTCCAGATGAGGGTGGTGTCGGTGGCCAGGAGTTTGTCGTGGAGCTACAAGAAACTGTGTTGGTGTCAGAAGGAGACGGTGAAGGCATGGCGGTCCACAGGTTCGCCCCAGATGAGCTTGTCATCCAGGACGCAGTGGAAGACGTGGTCTCTGAGTACGTGCACTGCGACGACGACGAGGACGTCGCTGTAGAAACCTGCGTGATGGCTCTGGAGGGCGAGGAGGAAGGTGTTGCCATGGGAGATATTCCTGAAGATGGGCTGGACCCAGATCAGCAGGAGGACGATCAAGATGGCTGTGGAGATTATCTGATGATATCCTGTGAGTTTGGTCTTTACTTGGACTGGATTTTTTTTAAGAAGGTTGTTCCCTGAGAAAGTGATTTGAACACTTTGATAAATTGTATAGGAGTTTGATTCATTTACTGCAGTGAATATTTGTATTCATGAGGGTTGATAGAGATGTGATCCAAAAATCCATTTTTTTTTTTTACTAAATCTCAATATACAATATCATGTATAACATACGAAATAAAAATACACAAAATAAAACTTCATTATGTTTGAACCCAGTGCTTCAAACATCACATTGCCTCATTGTGTATGGTATATAAAAATATATCCATATATTGTAAATCAGTAAAAATCACATTGCCTCATTGTATATGGTATATAAAAATATATCCATATATTGTTAAAACAATGTCACCCAGTCCTTGTGTTTATGTTCATAAAATTAGGATCAAAATTCACCAAAAAATATTGTTTTTTTTTTTTTACTGTTGAACTTTCAGCTCATCGTAATGAAACATTCTGTATCTTAAATTCCAGTGGATGAAGCTGGGAAAATGGTGTCCGAGGATGGAACAGAAGTCACGGTGGAGGGAGCAGTGGAGGACCAGGAGGTGGAGAAGGATGAAGACGGACAGGAAGTGATCAAGGTCTACATCTTCAAGGCCGACTCTGGAGAAGATGACATGGGTGAGTGTCGACAGAAATGCCCTTCTTGTCAAATTTCTGTTTTGATGGAAAACAACATTCCAGATTTGTAATTTTTTTTTTGTTTGCAGGAGAATCTGTTGACATCAGTGATGGAGACACAGACGGCATCCATCTTGATTCTTCAGGACAAACGCTTCGAGAGAAGATGGTCTACATGTCTGTCGGGGATTCTCGACACAATCAAGGCAACCACGGTGAGTAGTTAATCAGTCGACTGGTGAGGTGGATGTGGAAGTAGGACTGTGACCGATGCTAGTATCAATATTTAAGTGAATAACGGAAACAAAATGTGTTTTTAAAATAAATGTTCTATTGGTGTGAAGCTCTGCTCACTTTCTGTTCATCTGACTGTGCTCGGCAGAAATTTCTGGCGCTTCATTCTTGTGGATGTGTTACAGAAATATAGAAATGTATTCTTAAGGCTGTTTGTCCATCTTAGGTGTTGATGATGGCGATGGTTGTGAAAACCGTAACGGTGCAGCCAGCGCACTGCTACACATCGATGAGTCGGATGGAATCGATGAAATCAGTAGGCAGCGCACCAAGAGCAGGAGACGGTCAGAGCCGCGGCAGGTCCAGACAGGTGAGGCCACCGCTGACAAAACGACGATTAAAAACAAAAAAAAACATTAAAATGTGAAGTTAATCGTAACCAGACGTGAGATAAATGAACGTGTGTTGTGTTTGTCGTCCGCAGCCATCATCATCGGTCCGTACGGTCAGCCTCTGACTGTCTACCCATGCATGCTTTGTGGGAAGAAATTCAAGTCTCGAGGTTTCCTCAAACGCCACACAAAGAATCATCACCAGGACGTTCTGACCAGGAAGAAGTACCAGTGCACCGACTGTGACTTCACCACCAACAAGAAGGCCAGCCTGCACAACCACATGGAGGTGCACGCTCTGAGCAGCAAGGCTCCGTTCGAGTGTGAAATGTGTGGCAAAGAGTTCCACCAGCAGACGGCGCTGTTCTCTCACAGACTTCAGCACCACCACAGAGAACCCAAAAACCAGCAGCCTCCGCCGCCGCCTCCGCCCCCTCCTCCCCCTCCTCCACCGCAGCCCACCAAGATGCATAAATGCAAGTTTTGTGACTATGAAACGGCCGAACAGGGACTACTCAACCGCCACCTGTTGGCCGTTCACAGTAAAAGTTTCCCTCACATTTGTGTGGAATGTGGGAAAGGTTTCCGACATCCCTCGGAGCTGAAGAAACACATGCGCACGCACACGGGCGAGAAACCGTACTCCTGTCTCTACTGTGACTACAAGTCGGCCGATTCTTCCAACCTCAAGACGCACATCAAAACCAAGCATAGCAAAGAGCTGCCGTACAAATGTGAGCGCTGCTTCCAGACCTTTGCCGAGGAGGAGGAGTTAATACAGCACGGACTGACACACGAGGAGAACAAGACCCACCATTGTGCCCACTGTGACCACAAGAGCTCCAACTCCAGTGACCTGAAACGCCATATTATATCTGTTCACACCAAGGACTATCCACACAAGTGTGCCGTCTGTGGCAAAGGCTTCCACCGGCCGTCGGAACTCAAGAAGCACTCGGTCGCCCACCGCACCAAGAAACTCCACCAGTGCCGACACTGCAACTTTAAAAACGCAGACCCTTTTGTTCTCAGTCGCCATATCTTGTCCGTCCACACCAAGGAGCAGCAGTCCCCGCCTGAAAAGAGTGAAAGTAAGAGGACAGAAACGCACTCCGCACCTGCTACGCCCAAAAAGTCTGCCCCCGGTGGCTCCAGTGGTGCCGCGCCCGCCGTTAGGGTCAGCGCCGCCAGCTTAGCCAGCAGTGTGACAGTGGTTGTTGGCAAAGGACAGAAGGAGCGCAGAATTTATCAGTGCCAATACTGTGACTACAGCACCGGCGACGCCTCGGGTTTCAAACGGCACGTGATTTCAATTCACACAAAGGACTACCCGCACCGCTGCGAGATCTGCTCCAAAGGCTTCCGGAGACCGTCGGAGAAGAACCAGCATATCATGCGCCACCACAAGGACGTGGTGCAGACAGAGTGACTCTGAGTGAGCGCTGAACTGTGTCACAGTGTCAAAGCAACTTCCCCCCCAGCCCCTCAATCACTGCACCCACAGCACACACACACACACACACACACAACAGGTGTGTGTGTGTGTGCTGCACTTTGTACTGTTGTTCTGTTGCTTCATTTTTATACGTGTGTGTGTATGTCTGTCTCTGTGTGTCTGTGTGTCTGTCATTCAGAAACGTAAACCACCCACTTACCCCCCCACGTAGAGTTGCACTTTTTACTGCATGTCCCTGCTGGTGACGGTGTGCATGGCAGACTGTGCTAATAGAAACTCTTTTTTTTTTTTTATTTCTGCAGCCAACGATCACTTATTTCACCCCGGTCCTAACGACCGGTCTCGATAGTCCAGAATGCTTTAGCTCTACGTTAGCATTATTTCGTCACTGTCCCGAAACACATCAGTGTCCAGAGTTAGCAGCCTGTTCCCAGTAGCACTTACAGTCAAGATCATTTTTTTTACATGTAGTAATTCAATCATGTACGGCTACAATGAGTGGATGAACGAATGAAGGAGTGAAATGGACTGAGGCTGAGGTTTCCTGCCGCGAACCAGAGAAAAGAAAACTAGTCCCGTTCAGGTCAGTCAACGAAGTCTGAACAGACACTTCATACAAATGATGAATTTTGTAGCGGTGACGTCACTTATGCACAGGTTTAGACTACGATCACCGAACTGTTTGATATTGATACCTGAGTTATCGTTAGTCCTACAGGATCTCAACGCAGCAGGGATGAAACTGCTTCTTTTACTGACTGCAAAGGAAAATTTCCAGTATTTAAAAAAAAAAGTGACTTTGGGACAAGCAGTTAGATGAGTCTGATTTTAATGATCTGATGATGGTGTTCAGAAGGTGCAGTAAAACAAAAAGGTCATCAATGATAAAACATACAGCAGTGAGTGTCTCTTTAGTCTAACGGAAACGTGCTCGAAAACTAGCCTAAATAATTTAACCACCGATGTGTTTAGAATTACATAAACAAAAATTATTTTGTTTAAAAAAAAAAACGTACCCCATATTTCAGAAAAAAAGATTTTAAGTCTTGGTTTTTTCTTTTTTTAAATGAAAAAATATAAACAAATGTTTAAGGATTTTGTTTTTCTTAAACATGAATTGAAGTCCAATAAATAATGTTATATAATATTTCTGTTTAAAACTCATTGATTTAAAAATTACAAAAGTACAAAAACTAAAGTATATGTTTTTTGTTTATTATTCTGACTATTAAACAAAAAAAAATGGGGAAAAAACCTGATGAATTTGTGACTGTGTTTAACAAACAAAAAACTGAGAGAATTCCAAAAATAAAACTTTGCTTTCGAACAGCCCACATTTAACTTATGGCTTGTTTACATATTGTTTAATTTTTTATATTTAATATATTACTCTTTAACCATGACCTCAGTTGCTCTACTTGAACATCTAGACTCTCGTAAAGACTGAACAGACGATCATTGCTGTATATTTCAAATTATTTTGTCAAAATTGCCCTGTTGTTTCAAATGACCAAAAAAAAAAAAAAAAAAACAGTAAATCAATTTTCTTTTATCAATCACTTGACATCAGTGTCTCTGGGCTCAACTGGAATCAAACCGTCAACCCGGCGCTTGTGTTACAGAACCATTCAGCTAAAACTGTTTTGTCATTTATGCCAACATGGATGTACTTCAGCCAGTGGAGAGGGGAACTGTTGACGCTGTCGTTGGTGCAGCTTCAGACTGTTGACGATGGTCGACCCGTACTATGGCTTCTTTATTTTTTTTTACACTTTTGTTACCACCTGTCATCGTTTCTCTTTTTATATTTATTTCATTTACGAGTCGTTGTATAGTTTATGTGTACCTAGACTTCCATGGGACGTAAATTATTGTTTTGTATACAAATCTGTACAAACCGTGTAGATGTAAACACTTGATAAAAACCTTTACTGTGTTGTTATGGACGTACTTCAATGTATTTGTTAAAAAAAGATAATAAAAAGTAAAGTATTTTAATCTGTTGCCTGGTTAGCAACATTGAGAGGTTTGTCAAATAGCTGACGGAGAGATTTTAATTTTACATTTTTTTTTTTCATTTTATGATGTCTGTTTTAAATACCTGAGCAATGGTGAGTTTTATTTTTATTTTTTTTAAAATTTGTCTAACATCAGTCCGTGAAAATCCAAACTCTGATCATTGTTAAACCTGCTCTGTTTTTCTTGCAGGATCATTCACGTGAAGCCGTCGTTAAAGCGGTGACTTCAACGTTGGATCAGCGGTGGAGATATCTCCGGGCTTTTATTGTGAAAGTAAGCACAACTTCTTTGACGCCAGTTTCATTTTCCAAACTAGCGATAGTTTTAACGGCCGTTCTCCGGCCAAGATAAGTTCAAACTGGCACTTGATGTGTCCGTTGACTGATACCGCAGTGTCACTGCTCGACAATTCAATAGGTTTTGACATTTTTCTGTATCACGTTTTGAAGTGCTCTGGCGCCCTCCAGTGGGTGCATGCCAAATCGTTTGAAAACCCCTGCTCTAGACTTAGCTCACCGTAAATATAGCCACTATTAAATATATATACATATATATTGAATTACGTTTTGTTGACTATTGTTAAAAAAGTCAGACTTTTCTTCTGTCAAAGTAACATTATGTTTGATAATTTAAAATAAAGTTAAAAACTATTTTGTGCACAACTTTTCTTTAATAGGTTTAACTTCTATTTATATTCTTGTCTGGATTTAATCCACTTTGACTAACAGACAACATGCAACTACATGTTGCATAATTATTTTACATTCCTCCACCTGCACCTGTGCTGCCTCCTTGAGGCTAAATAACAGAACTCCCCAGTAGACACAGAGATGCCACGTTAATGCAATTCAAAGCAAGAATTTTGTATTTATTTTGTATTCATCAACACACCTTACAGAGTACAGTGAACCAACTTTAAAATGTGATATTAAAAAATAATTCAACAGCGACCTCTTCAGGTGTAAATTGAGATTCCCAATCCAAGACAGCAGAAGACTTAAGCTTCCTGACATTCCCCTGGAAGAAAACAAAAAACAAGTAACCGTTCTGCGTCACCAGTTTTACTGTAGTTTCTGTAGTAGTACTCCATCAGTCCTGTAGTATTACCGTTGTTGGGTAGGATGGCAATGTTTTCTGGAAGGATTCCTGTCCCCGTGGAGAACTGTTTGAACTTCTCCAGCAGGTCTGGGCCGAGGTCCGCTCTTCTTCCTGCAACGGAAAACAAACCACATCCTGCACTTCTCACCCTGACCACATGGGCTGCACAAGGACGGACTCGGTTGTGACGGTTGGATCTTACCGTAGAGCTTGTTGATGACGGTGGTGTCGCCCTCGTTCGTCTTGATGGTGTGAGTCAGCGCGTACTCGTCGTACTTCACCTCCACCAGCAGCATGTCGTACTCACCGCCCCAGTCTGACGGCGATCAAGAACAGTTTTTTTTACAAAGACCTGATGTTGCCAAAAAGACCGGCCTTTTCATTGTCAGAGCCGAGCAGGTAAATGAGATTTATATTAATCTTCAAATTAGTTTTCCTAATTCTTCATGCCAACAAAATACCATCTTTCTCCTTGTTCATAACGTTATTGATAACATGATTAACAACAGCAGATGGAAAGCCCTAAGATAAACTTTTAGTTTCCGTTTAGGAGCATTTAACGGTGTCACACTGTATCTGTTGGCACTGAGAAAAAATGGATTCACACTAACTGTCACTTGTGTATGAAAACTTTCCAGACACGTCCGTCTTCTTGGCCTGGTTCTTCATTCTCCAGCAGGTTCCATCCGTCCTAAAAAAGTAGGTAAAACACGAAGGCGATCTTTATTCATCGCAATTCTTTTCCTTTAATATAATTTTGTAGCCCAATGTAAAAAAAAAAAAAACAACCAAAATATATATATTATATATTATATTTTTCTTAACTTACATTATCGTTTTCATTACAAAAACCTTGTTTTGTTTCTTAACTTACATTACCGTTTTCATTACAAAAACCTTGTTTTGTTTATATTTCCTTTCACTCACCTGAGGCTGGCGTACGACACGTCGAGGTCTCCGTTTGTGCTGGGGGTGAACAGAGCCGTTCCCATATTCATGTTGCCTGTACGCTGGGTGAACCACTGAGCATTGGTAGCAAATCCAATTAGGTACCACTTTCCAGCCATCTAAAAGAGTGAAGATAATTACCAAAATATTTTAAAAGTTAATGTAGAAAGAGATTTGGCTACTCAGCCTTTGATTTGAAGTATCATACTACAGCAACAATTACCTGAAAAAATCTTAAAAAAATAAAATGTTCCCATATAATATAAAAACAAATGGACATAGCTGAGTATTTTAA